GCACCGCTGGACCGGCACTGAGCAAGTGGGGGGGGGGGGGGCGCGAACTGGCACGGTGGCGGAGTCGACCGCCGACCGGTGGGTCGCGACTGGATCTCGAACTAGGACGACTATGCAGAGTTTCAGAACGGGCTCGGCTTGTATCTTGGATTTCGGCGGAGGCTAAATAAGACTGTGAATTAGAGGAACAGTTCTGTTCCATTTCAGCCATGACCCTGGATTTTTGGCTTTTGACATGACGAATAAAATTCCTTGTAACACATGTGTAAAACCTTACAATGTTGTAGAACATAATCGTCTAATCAAGGCAATTAAGCTCGATTTTCTCGGTTTTATCGTTTGGTCTCGGGGCATTACAAGGACGTCAGTTAAAAAAGGCTTGCCTATCTGAGTATCCAACAGTGCTCTTGTGCACTGCGTGTGACTCGGTGACTTCGTGGGCGCACTTGATTTTTCGACAATAGCACTGATTCTAGCCTATGACTTAGTTCTGGAAGTATTGGCATCTGGTTCAAGGAGTGGCAAAACTAAGTGTGTCTCTTGAGAAAGGTTCCCTTACGTTTATAGACAGACCAAAAATATGTCTCAGTGCATCTGACACACCGAACAAAGAAGCGCGCGATACCTAGCTTTGTTCCTCCCCTCCCACCAACGCATGAAACCGCCCCCCTCTCTCTCTCCCCCCTCTCTCTCCCTCCCTCCCCCCCCCCCCTCTCTCTCTCTCTCTCTCTCTCTCTCTCTCTCTCTCCCGCTGTAAGACGGGCTCTGCACGCAGGGTCTGTCCCTTCCGGCGTCCGTCGACGCACATGACCGTCCAACAGCCGGTACCTACACTCTGCAGTCTGCAAGCCCCGTCTACTGACCACTGCTTTCACTCTGCGTGAGCGGCGCCATCCCACCCCGCCCTGTCGCGCCCCGTCCCCTCCCACCCTTTCTCGGCACGGTGCAGGAAGAGGACCCGCCCCTCGCCCGTGCGGGCGGGGTCCTCTGCAGGGAAGGAGGCGTGCAGTTTGGTGGATGGGTGTAGTCGACTGGGGCGATTGGATCGTTCGTAAAAGTGAGTGGCGATTTATTGGTGGTAGAGGCGTCTGCAGGATGAAGAGAGAATTGGATGGGGTATGGAGAGGTGGTTAATGTATTCATTAGTAATTGGGCTACGATTCATGTGTCTGGGCGCTGTAGATGGATTATACGGAGCTCCAAAGGGAACACCTTGAAATACTATTACCATGCCTCACCGTATCATGTTGTTTCGCATCGTAGCGTGAAACGTTCTGTTGATGAACTTATGTACGTACATTGCGGCCAGCTTGCATACTACCAAATCAACTTGGATCAAATTTCCCACCTGCAGTAAATTAGCGATATCTTGTATCAAGGCACAATTAAAATATTTGCACAAGCGCGACTGTAACTCTAATCACGTTTCCAGCCGGTCGGTGAGCCGGTCGTAAACTACACCTGAGCCGGTGGCCAAGACCCGTGTCACCCTCAATTCCATCCCACCTCACCCGTCCACGCTCCGCTCTGTTCACCTCCTCCCGTGTCGTGCACACAGTCACACCGAGCGTGCACGCTCCGACGGCGCTGTGCGCGGTGCATGGCGTCGTCAGTGACGCAGCCGGTCACCGCAGGATTCCGCTCGGGTTTAACGGGCGGCGGTCCGGTCAGCGACACTCGGGCCGCGGGGAGGGGCTCACGGGTGGCGGGTCTGCTGCTCTGGCGCGACTATCGAGTATGAGGGTTAATGAGTTATCTATGTAGAGACAGATAGTACCGGATAAGTGGAGAAGTGTGAGGTTTTAGCAATCAAGTAGGTGTTGAAACGGTTAGAAATATAGTTCTGTGCCAGATCAAAATTGTTAATGGCATGAATTTCTCTCGGGAATGCGTACAAAGTCGAACCAACTGCTGTGGAAGTGACCCATGCAATTTTATGGAAACGTGCACCATCGCACGTCTGGATTGATGTGCGAATATCGCCTTCCGGGACGATTAAAGTGACCATCCCACCTTAACATTAGTTTTGAGTTGAGATAGCCAAATTGGTGGCCATGGCCTGAAAATACCGGTTTGGGCACTCACAACATCGAAAAATGCTTTAATTCGGAGATATGGAATTTCAAACTTGCAGTTTTCGGATTCTAAGGGGCTAATGCATTGGTATGCCCCCTTAGAATTTGTGACGTCAGCGGAGGTCTAACAGTTTTTAAATCTTTTACTAAAACGTTTGGTAGCACGCGGTGGTATATGCTGCTTTGCGCGCAACAAATGCCGCACTTTCAAATAAAGTCGCTAGGAACAGCGGAGATCCCAAAAAGTAAACAAAAGTAAAAGTCTAATATCTTGAAAACCCGTGAATATTTTTCGATGAAATTTGGTACATATTCGTTTTCGCTCTTTCTGAACCGAGCGACATCACTTTCATGCCAATTCATTAACTTTTTTGAAGGTGGGAGGGTCCCTTTAAAACGGGGCGGCCCATTGTTGAACAGCTGCTGACCGCTGAGGACGGCCTCGAATGTGACACGGCGTGCACTGTGCTGCAGAATCCCCGCACTGGATGTAGGTGACTTCGTGCGGGAGCATATTCTGCCGAGACGGACTGAACAGTGAACAAGGAGGCGGAAGATGAAGCTGACATCGTTTGCGCGAGCACGAGGAGGCGCGGTCCTCGAACTCTGACGGAACAAGTCAGGTCATCAAACTTGGGCAGTTTTGAACGATTTGCTTAAAAACGTTTTCAGGGGCTCCCTAAGTGGCGTTTAGCGTATTGGCACGATAACAGCTAGTCTTATTTCATCGAGCATACCGTGGAAAAGGAAAGTGAACGGAAGTGCACCGGGCTACCACAGGTTACACTATAATGCATGTGTCTTGTGGATTTGAGAGGTTCCGGCTTCTGGTTTGCGTGGTCACGTTCACTGGACAGCTGGCCAACACTGCCACTCTCCATTGCTTGCTCTGCTCCGTCTCGTCGATCTGTTTCCTCGTCCTGGAAGACAAAGGTGAAGCGGTCGTTTAAATCACTCAGTAAGTTATGTCTATTTTTTCAGGCAAGCGCAATTACTGGGAAGCTGTTGACCACACGAGAAGCATCAATGCCCACAGCATTCCTCGCTGAGACAGCATGAGGAGGATCTGCTGAACAAAAGAAACAACAGCCATATCGGCGTTCAGAGCTTGACGCTTTGCGCCTGGAACGTTAGGGGACTCATCGGGGCGGGCGGGTCTGTGACCATGGCTTTCCAAGTTTATTCCGGGGAAGCTGTTATTCTTATTGTACTGGATGGGAGAAGCCGAAAGTTACCCGTCCCTTCTCTCTTCGTTGCCCGGAGTTGTTTCGCCGCCCATGGCCATGGAACACGGCCAAATGCTGTTCGTGACCTGCCGGACAGCAACCACTATGTCTGCATCCCTTCACTTAGCCCGTGCTCGTAAGGCGAGTGAGGGGGAGGGGACGGGTAAAATGTAAATCAGCTGTTGCAGCAGACCGGCCGACCATCTGTCAGACATAGCCTGCGGCCAGCGGCGAGGGTGAACGGCCCTGTGACGTCACTGGTTCCTATGACGTCATTGGTCAGACAGGTGCAGCGTCCGAGGGCTGCAACTTGCCGCCTTTCACTTGTGGAAAATAAACACCAACACAAAAAGTAACAGTAGGTAACAAGTAACAACGATCCATTCACTGAGTGTCGTTGTCGCCGAGATAGCGCTCAATTTGCCGCAATCAGTCGGGATCGGCGACACCTTTTTCTGTGGCCCATTTTTGACGTACCTGTGGCGTGAAATGACGCCGTTGAGGAGCGCGATCAGCGCAGAGATCGCTCGAGGCTCCTTCGCGGAACCGGACACCTCGTTCGGTGCTGGCCGGTCACGTGATATATGATAATGGTCACGTGATCTATGATAGCATCGTGTGGCGCGTTGCCGGGCGGCGGGTGTTACTGATTGATATCACATTCCAAGATGGCCGCGCATTCCTTGCGGTTCTGGTGAGGTGCATCCTTCGCGGATTATGTTGCCTCGGTCCGGCATACCATCCATTACGTGATAAGTTCAATGTTGCATGCGTTAAATTCTCAATGTTCAGATAATTTAGCTGCACTGAGCCGGTATCACACCATTGCCCGTTGTTGCGTTTTGACTATAGAGCCTACAGGACAAAGCTGCCTGCTTTTAGGCACAAACTAGGCAGCTTGCCTTCAAATCGGTTATCGTTTAGGCATAAGCCCTGAAGTCATGGTGCCAGATATTGACATGCTACAAATTGCATTGACATGCAATTGGGGTGTTCTCCTTATTCCAACGAACCACATGTGTCACTGCATTAAACATGCTAGGTAATCCCTTACAACTCACGCAGAGCATGACATTGTGACAGGAAAGCAACGTGAACAATGTACACCTACGTTTATCGTTAGTGGTAAGGCGATTTCTGAAGTCGGCATCGATATTTTGTACCTAATGTGCCGAGTTCCGATAAACGATACCACGCCCTTTCGGGTGGGCAAAGCGCTCCAGAATCTCACAGCTCACCGCATAAAACTCCCATGTCTCAAATGCGACCTAACCTTGTTCCCATTGCGTCTGTTTGCATGTCACAAACATGTTCCCGATACCACCGATGCCCACCTCACCCGTGCACTGATTATATCCCGCCCACCTCCTCGCCTTCCCTCCCCTCCGTACCTTGAACACAGAGCGGTGTTATCTGACCGCTCCTCCCCCTCCCCTCCCCATCCATCCCGATCCCAGTGCCGGTCACATTCCTCTCTCCACTCACTGTATTCACCCCCCCCCCCCCCACCTCCGTCCCTCATCCGTGCGTCCCCGCATCACAGCGCATCTCAACAAACCCTCCCCTCCCCTCCTTCCCTCGCTCACGGCCTCTCAGTGGCGGCGGCAGCGACCCCCCAGGTGCGCCGCCTGGGAGCGCGCCTGGCACATACCTACACCCGGCACTGCCGGTCGCCGCGCCGGCCGGCCGACCGGCTGTCAGTGTCCGGTGAAGAGTCGGAGGGAGGGGAGTGTTTCTAGCGGAGCGCGCACTGGCTGCCGCTCCGGACGCTTCTGTGATAGGTGTTTCCGTCCGCTAGGGATAACGGACAGCTGTGATTGCCCTAGTGGACAGGGGAGCTCAGTGCGGAGTTTGTGAGTGGAGTGGAGTGATAGAGTGAGTTCGTCTGTGGTGGGCGCAGTGTGGGACCGGACGCCTGGGAGCGGCGCGTAGCGGTCTCTTAGGAGCGTGTGGGAGTCGCGGAGGAGGCGATACCATCTGTGGTGGCGCGCGGGCGACCTCAGGCTCTGGCCGCGTCCACAGACGCCATCCACAGCGTCCTCAGCGGGAGAGCGAGCCTGTCCAGCGCGGCTGGACGCTCCACAGGGGGGCAGCGGACGCTCCGCCGCCCAGCGCGGCGCCCCGGGGCGAGTCTGACCCGGTGCGTGATCCGTCTGACCTCCCACGGACCGCCCGAGGGCATTTGTAGCGCAGCAGATCACCCCAGGAAGCCACATAATCTCGGCGTGAGATCACACGACGTTGCTTTGTTGCGGTTGATCTCACCGCGGGGCTTCAGCTTCTAGCTCGAAGAAGAGAGGATCTCAAATCAAGTCGGGAATGCAGCGCAGGTGACCGAGAGGTGAACAGGTGAGTAATGCTCTGACCGGAACTCAGAGCTGGGTCAGCGGGCTCCAGGTCAGACCGGAGACCGCCACGTTTGTGGTCAGTCGGGTTGAGTCGGTCGGTCGGGGGACGCTCTGTCCGATGGCCAAGCGGTCAGCGCGGCGCCAGCCGCGAGCTTTCTCCAGCGAGAGTCCTCCGGTGGGGTCGAGCCGCATGCCTTCCGTGAGAGTAGTCACCGTGCTCTCAGAACCGCCCGCCATGCGACCCGACCTGTCGAGTGTCCAGGCGGAGGGGCACGTTCGATTGACGCACAACTGAGAGAATTCCCATGGCTGATTTGCGGAATCTGAATCGGTTCAGACACTGATTAGTGGCTGGAGTCAGTTTAATGACTGGGACCATTCTTTTTGTAATGGTTCTAGGATTGTTATCGTTCATTAGCGTGAATCCATTGACAGGCGGTGGCCGGGGACCGCTGGGAGGGTATCAGTCCGTGACCCCGGGCGCCGTCACAGGTCGGCAGGTCGCTGTGTCACGGAGCTCAGGTCGGGGACAATGGGCGCCTGTCTCATCAGCGGTGGGTGGGTGACTGGCCCGTCCCGGCCGACCACCTGACCTCGTACTGAAAGGTGCGCCGCGCGGCCGGAGACGAACGCTGACTGGGCTGAGGGCCCGGCCTTGGCCTCCGCGGCGCCGCCGCCGCCGCCCCCGCCCCCGCCTGCTCGCTCTCGTCACCTCAGTCACTCTGTCTGACCAGCCGACCCCACCATTGACACACGGTGACTCTGTGAGGTCGGGGGCTGGGCTGTGACCTTGGGCAGGGTCATGGCACCCTCGCGACTCGCACCACGCTCCTAACCGGTCTGAATAGCCCGCGGATACCACCGGCCGGCCCGGGTGAGCTGATAATCCGGACCCGAGCGCCGCCCGCTAACGGAGGAGCAAGGGCAGGTGCATGCTAAACAGAGTAGGAACACTTTTTAACATGCTGCTGGTTCATACTTCAGTTCATCCTAAGAGCTAAGTCTGCTGAGACATCAAAACAAAATATCACAACGAACGACTGTTTAATATCTATGTGAACGGTGCAGTTCCCACCCTCAGACCATTTCCCTTATTAGGATTCTGTGGAATAACGGTTAACGAGTCAGTTATGGGCGGCCCATGGACGCTGACCAGTGTGGGTCACTGTGCCGCAGAGGTTCCAGGAGCTCTGCCCTTTAGTCGGTATATGCCCAGTACAGCGCTGGCTTGTCTCTCGGGGTGGAAGGCTTGCATTCCTGTGCCATGCACGGATAACGGATTTACTCGTAGCGTGGAATGTCACAGGTATGCTAACTACTCAGGGTTCGCTAATATGTGATAAGTGGGTGGTAAGTGCACATGAGTACCGCTCTGGTATCACCTGATGCAGGCTCTGTAGTCTGCCTAACTAGTCTGCATGGCACGGCCCGGTACCGTCATATTCATCCGCCGAAGTACATTTGCGGCTGTGACCGAGCAGTGGCAACAACAAAGAACGTTTGATCATGGCACCTCATTGACTGAACAGAGAACATGACTGTGGGCTGATGGCGTGTGCCATGAGATCAGGCTGGGGAAAACCAACCCGTCGACGATATGAGTCAGGTGAATGGTGGTGGCAACATACAGTCATGAACCATGCTCACGGAGGGAGCAGTCCTCCGTTTCCGCCCTCGTCTCCGCCGGACTCTGCTGCTCCTGTGACTACCGCGAGCGTCCCACCGGCATCAAAGCTCCCAGTCACGAGCGTAAGGCCGATCCTATCTGGTTAGCCTACATACGCTTTGCCAACATTGTCCGCCTGTTTATGAGACACCACAGGTCGAGTTGATCGGCTCTTCCGCGGCGAGCGATGTGGATTCCCAGGCGCATTGGTTTGGTTTCAGTCGAGTTTCCTCAAGATTGTAGACTACAGACTCGGGGAACTGCGAGTGCGATAGCCATCGCCTGGGAACCGTCCCGCAGTATGTTGTCGTGGCTCGCTCGTGCACGAAGTTCGATCGTTTCACTGTCAATTCGTGTCACCTCACACTGTGTCACTATGTCGCAGTGTCACCCGGTGTCACACGTTGTCAGCGTGTCACGGTGCTCCCAAAAAGTGTCACAATCCTCCCTGTCACGCGCTCACGCCTCTCACGTATCTTTCACGACAGCTCGTGCCGATCGGGACACCCGCAGTCCGGCCTCACGTCATGGAAGGCCGTCCTCAGATATCACACATCTGGGCCGGCTAACGGTCCAGTGACGTCACGTACCAATGACGTCATCTGCGCCTTGGCAGACATAGCCAGACGGGCCGTCAAGTGGACGCGTCGCGTTCAGTGCTCGAGCTCTGAGCCGCGTTCCCATGGCTGTGAGATAAGCTGAGGGAAATGCGTAATGTGTTGTTTGTGTGGACGCTGCCGTAGGGCGGTGACAGGACTGTTATTTCTCATTACCAGAGTGTCTGGATGCGTTCACCTTTGATAATGACCCCTAGGGAACTGTTAGGATAAACGTCCCATTCCGGTCAATCTCCGGTCTTTGTGACTAGATAATGTCTCAACAGTTACCTTCATGGGCTGACCCCTGACCTATGACTGACCTAGACTGGAACCGGTTATTGTCCCTTCTGTGGGGATTATGGCCCTCTCCCGACACCCTCTTCCGACGCGGTCGATCGGACGTGTCTGTGGTGGAATCCTCTCCCTTCTCTCGCACTCAGAGTGTTTCCTGTGGTAAATCAAGGCTAATGCTCGTCCCCGTAGGTCAGAACTGTGTGGGACGAAGACAGGAAAGCTGGATTACACCATGACGTCATTTCCGTCCTTGAAGCCTGACATTCGGTTCGTATCGTATGGTGTGGGATCTTCTTCGTCTATATCCCATTCTTATTTTTTTAGACCTCCTCTCCTCGCCTCTTCCGCCGCCTTTAGCGCAAGCTATCGCCCTCTCTTGCCTTCCCCTTCCCGGTCCCTCCCTGCACCCGTTCCTTACCTGCCCGCTGCCTGCGGTGGGGTGGAGCCCTCCCGTCTAGGACTCCATTAGGCCGGGGGCGGGGACCACCCTGCTGGCGGTCGGGAGGGCCGGATCATAACACCGTCCGCCCTCCGCTCCCACCAGCGATTCGCCGCACAGAAACGCAAAACAAACGCCGAGAGAAGCCCGTCTCAGATCATTAAAACTCGCCGTGCGTAGCTGCGCCTGAAAACTCCACGGGGTGTCTTGTCTCGTTGCGGGCTGGATCCGTAAAACTTTCGGAACACTCCCGAGTGCTCTTCCTAAGCAGCTCAAGCGTTCTTCGTTAGACTTCTTTCCTAGCTTGTAGTCCATAGCGTAAGCGTTGCTACACAAGATGCATCGTAACCTCGAACTCTGCATCGCTCAGCTACGAACTATACAAATAGGCTAGCAGTCGATGATCGGGTTTCCGGATGGCTTGTAGTGCGGCTAATGGCTGGTTACTCGCCGTCGGAAGACAAAGCGCCGGGTTCACCAGCACGCTCGTCAGCGCCGGTTGTCGGGCAGGTAATCGCTGTTGGGCGCCCGCTGGAGGGCGTTCCAAGGCGTATTCGGCCCGCTCGAGCGCTCAGTTGGATGAGCCGAACCCGACAGTGAGCCGGCTCACGCGAAACGACCATTCCGATCGGCTCGGTGATCAGGAACGGTCAATTGTTGGCGGTTTGGGGCTTCGTTCAAATCAGAGCTATGACGTGAGCTTCATATCTCACATATGACGGTAGCGATTGTCCGTGACCCGGGCATTTAGTGGGTATCAAGTGTTCCAAATGTCCCCGCTGACTAAGGTAAAGCGGGACTGAATCGACATTGAGCCGAACTTGAGTGCGAAGCTGCCGGAATATCGGCGCAAAAGTCATATTTCCTCTTGCGCCGTTCTCACGTCCACACACTGTGATCGTCCATGACATCGAGTTCATACGTATCTGGCTATCAATGATTCTTTTGGTCAATCATCAATCATTATTTATCCTTGTGGTGAGGAAACAGCCCTTCATTACCCTCACACAGCGGGGCAAAGTCAACATGACCCGTGAGAGACTGAACGCTTCTCAGCAAGGACAAAGTCTGAGACCTGAGTAACTGCGTGGCTCGTTCTCGAATGATTTAATCGGTTCAGTCTGTTTTGGCGCCCTAAAACCGCAATCATCGCCATCATCAGTCACCATTTATCTTGTGAATAAGATAGATGGCTGAAGAATGATGAACATGTTACATGCGATAGGTCAAGCTGTCTGTCGAAGATCAGTGAGCGTTTCTAGCTCGATGAAGTGGGTACCGCTGCAATGCTGTTGTACACCGACGTCTTATGTGAGCCGTTTTCTGATTCCACTTTGACTGGTACGGGCTCAAAGACTGAATGCTTGACTTTGCACGCCACGCCCGACTCTAGCGCAACTCGTGCTTTTCACACATGTTACACTCCAGTCATGCCTCAAGAGCCTCGGCGCTCAGCTCAGTCCCACTCAGCCCGGCGGGCCACCAGCTTCGCACGGCTCACCAGCCCGAGGCCCGGGGCGGGGCGGAGGCGGCAGCGGCAGCCGGTAGCCTCTCATTCCCTCGCCGTGACCGGCTACCGGTCGACGCCATACACCGTTGTACGGCCCGTACTGGCTGTGGCGTGAGTGGCGCGATGGCGACGTCATGGCGGCGCAGAGGTGGCAATGGGCGGTGGGCGGCGTTGGTACCGTCTGTAGAGCACTTATTGGTCAGACTTACTCTCACGTGGGTTTTCTCACGGACGGTTGCGTATGACGTCTCGAGTCGTTTGTCACGTCGCAGTGTCACCACTGATGACTCCCGCTGTGTGACAGAGGTCACTGTGGTGTGACCCCGCTGGCCGAAGGGTCACTCATAGTCATGTCACCGGAGTGTTACTCTTTGGATCCCACCGGCTGCAGGGTAACCCTTTGTCGGACCTGCGGGGTCGGGTGATATGGGACAAATCGGGTGCTGTCTGCCGTGGTTTTGGTTTTATTGTCAAACGTCATGCGTCTTTGCAGTTCTTGGAAACCTATTAGACAAAGGTCAGTGTTGTGTGGGCATGCACTGTCTGTCTAAATTTTGTTTATTGCGGGCATATTGCGATAATATGACTAAAACCTTTTTCCGGCATGAAGCTATCCATCATTGTCAGATCAGATACTATCTCCACATTTCATTCTCGATAACAAGATTCAAAACCTAACGGCTCACCGTCAGGTAGTCAGCATTTTGATGGAATTTATTATCAAACGGCTCATCCATCTTCCTGGCAGTCTGGCCGTTTTGTTTCGGGCCTGGCCGGCGGCTACAGTGCCGTGACCGGGTCGCCGGGGTGGTGCCTGGCCCCGCCCACCGGGTCACAGAGGTCACCGCGCCGCCGGCCGCCCGGTCGCCGGGTCAGTGACCCGGGAGCGCTGACCAAGTGGTGTGGAGTACTGACCGTAGGTATAGGGTAACCACTGAGTGACGTGGGACAGGGGTGCGAGTTGTGCATGCTGCCCTTTCTGTTCAGTGTTCGAGGAGCGAGGGATTCACTGGATTGAGATTGTGTTTCCGGTGAGTGATCCCTATAGGTATAGAGTTCCGGACTCCGGTGGTGCCTACGTCAGAAAAGTCAAGTGGCCTGTTGATGTAATAAAGTCTGGTCTGCGATATCGTGTGTAGGTGAAAGATCGAGTGTTTTTGATAGGCATATCGTCATCTCTAGCTTAATGTTTCTATCGACATTAGGTACTGTTATATCACGCAGTATTTGCCTCATCATGGTGTCAGGCAGTGCTTGTTACTCTCAATTTCCTCCATCTCTATCTCCATATCTCCACATTGTTATCCGTGCAGCGCATCCCGTCCTTGATGGGTAGGAAGGAAGGTTTGGCTGAGCCTCTCAGCTCCGTTCCTGGTTCGGTGTTAGATCCGCCACTCGAGCTCCGCCGGGAAAGTGTAGGCAGTCGGTGAGGCCCGGGCTATCGCGTATCGATAGTGCGGTTATCGGTCAAACAAAGGGCGCTTACGATTACGGCAACGGTGGCGCAAAGAGGCACCAAACTGTTTGAGAGGTGCAGGTCAGACTCACGGCTTTGCGTTATTTGAATTCAAATTGTGGTCGTTTTTTTTTAGGATCCAAACAGCAAGGATGATGGCGTGCAGCGTCCTGTTTCTTTAGCACTATTTTGCTCAACGATTCGACGTGGCTGACTCCCGTGGTCGATTCGACCGCCGCCTTCGCGGCCAGGTCCGATACTCAGACCCCGAATGCTGTGAGAACCTGCCGGTCGCTGAGGTCCAGTGACCTGAGAACGATTCACACGCGCAATTGACCCCTGCGCCGCGTCTTGTGACCCCGGATGTGGCGTTATATTGTAGAACAAAACAGGTGAACGCCTAGAAGCCGAGGTCGTTCAGCTCACGCCACGCACTGGTCGGTCGAAGAGTGGGGACATATAACGAGGGTAATCTTTAATGTGAGAACGTATTTAACTTCTCAGCAATGGCCATGTCGTACCTATTGGTCTTCAGCTCTGGCTTGTAATAAGTTGCGATCGTCTATCGGCTTTCATTTCAAACTAGGGACAACACGGTTTTTGCGATAGTGACAGCATCACTGGGGCTCTCCTTGTAAACGATAAATTTGCACGGCACTCGCCAAGCTGATAGGGTAGATTTCGCTGTAATCGGTCACCAATCCTTTCGCTGTACTCGATAGGCATTGATTTTCGCCAGCTAGGCAGCTGACTAACCCGGGTATACTCGTGGCCTGTGCACTGTGACCAGAACTGTGGCCTGCCTTGTAAACTTACCTGTGACCAGTTATTGTGCAGATCCGTGAGCTGGCGTGGGTCCTGATCTGTGGCCTGACCTATGGCCTGACTATCTTTGAACTGACGTGTGACGTGACTTGTAACTTTATCTGTGACCTGACCTGTGTGGTGAGCTGTGACCTGACCTGTAACCTGTGACCTGACCTGTAAGCTGATCTGTGACCTGACCTGTATGGTGACCTGTGATGACCTATAAACTGTGTCCTGACCTGTGACCTGACCTCTAACCTGCCCGGCAGGAAGGACCATGGCGTCCGCCGACCCGCTGCGCCGGCCCGTGTACGGCACCGGCGCCGGCAGGCTCAGGGACTTCTCCTCCATCAAGTCCGCCTTCGAGGCCGCACCGACCTCGGTGAGTGGAATATCGGGAAGCTTGCTTACATGTATAGTGAGTGGTATTTGACTTGCTACTGGTATATCCCGTGCAAATATGAAAATGACCATGCCACACAAGGGAGGGAAAATGACATTGACACATTGCATCGATCCAATAAGCTTCGTCTGTGGTTCTAAGTTCCAACCTTAGCTCTTCCGATCGTTGTCCTTAGTCGTCTCCCTGCTCGTCCGACTGCGACCTCCGTTTTCCGGTCCCACGTCACTCCCTACCACATCACCCGCTCTGTCTCCGGTTGATGCATCTACCCTCCTTTCCTCTACGATCTATCCTTCTCCCTCTACTCTCCTCCCTCCTCCCTCTACTCTATCCTCCTCCCCCACTCTACCGGCCATCGCCCCGGCCGTCTCCATCCGAGCTTCTGCAATCCGCTGTAAGCTGCGGGGATACCGAGCTTTGCACTACACACGGCTGTCTGCCGAGCTGCCGTGCGGCTCTGTGGCCGCAGCTGGCGGTCCGCTGAGGCCGTGCAGACCAGACCGTCTGGACCGGAGACCGGCGGACCGTCGCGGTCCGGACCGGTCCTGGCGGCGCGGCGGGCCGTCGACCGGTCGCTGCTCCGTGGCGTTCACAGGCGCGCTGTGGTGGCTGCGGGCGGGCGGGGCGGGACGTAGTGGCCACGATAGGCTGAGGCAGCTCGCAAGACGGGCTTGTACTGTGGCGACTCTCTGAGTGTTTGTGACGCTAGATAGACTCCTATGGTCCTATCTTAAATGTTCTAGAGAGGGGAGCGTTCAGAGGCTGGACGACACAGCTCTGATGAAAGCGAGCTACAATATTCAACCTGAAGAGTAGATGACATTCAAATTATGTTGATCGCGTAACGATGGGCTCAGGCTGGTGCATGTTCCTGAAAAAGAAGGACCTTATGAAGGAACTTAAGTGAATTGCTGTTTGGGTCTGATCCACTTCCTTGGCTCGGCTAGTACCGACGCAAACCCAGCCGACGCCGGAGCGGCTGGGGGCGGAGCTGGTCAGGAGTCTGGGACAGAACTGGGCCGGTGCGATGGAGAGGCTCACCGCCCGAGCCGAGATCGGGGCTATCGAGGCGGCGGTAATTCCAGACTGGAACTGGAACAGGGGCTGGGTCGTCGATATCGGGCACTCGGTCTGTTCTCCGAGAAACAACCGAGAACCTCAGGCCTTGGGTCTTAGCTCTGTTACTCCACTTTGCTGGCACACTGACCCGTCATCATAAACCCAAAAGCGTCGTGTGGTACCGCTCAATAGCAGCTCAGGGCGTATGGTGCTCCAGGTTAGACCGTGTGAACAGAGCCAGTGAACACCGAACAGACAGCAAACATGTGCAAGTGACGCAACGCTGCGCTGTTTCCTTGTACCTACCACGCGTTTTTAGACTACACGAAACCTTGGAGCGTCTTAACACGCGTCTCGACCACAGCTGTGGGCTTTAGGTGACGTTACTGAAGCGCGACTCCTCCTTTTGAGGACCTGCGTCGCATTTGTCCCCAAACAAGCACCGGAAAATGTTGCTCAGAGTTTTGACGTAAAACTGCAGAGGGCCACCTGCACCGTGCGCCTGCCCCGCTCAGGATCCGACCTTGGCTGGGGCGGTGCTGCAAAGGAGCGACAATCGATGGTTCAAACGTGCAGGCCGCTTCGACCGTGTTGCCGGTAGCACCGTACAAAACACTGAAGTTACGTGCGTCCTGCGGAAAGTGATGTCCGCCTTTGCTGTAGCTCATTTGCAATGCAGGGTGTCTTGGAGAGTGGAATTGAAATTGGGAAGGACGCTATAAAAGGAGGTACAAGATCGCAGTGTGTTGAACCAGTGTTATAGATGATGTGGTTTGATATCGGGCACCGGAATTGAGGTCGCGACGTCAGACATGTTGAGAGACGATGCCACCAAAGGCTTGGCTTAGAGCGATAGAGACGATGGGCGCTAGAAGGTCACAGACGATAAACGATTGACGACTGATACTGGCGATCGTATCATATATCGACTTTGTTGGGCTTAGGGACGGAGTGCTTCTATAATTTACAGATAACGGACAACAGACGACAAAGATGTCACAACACTCGATAGGCGAAATCCGAAACCGATGCACAGCGGAATATAACGAATAGCGACCAACGGCAGGTGATCAGACGGTTAAACGCCTAACGCCCAACATTATTGTTTCGAGGGCGAATGCTATTTTATTTTATTAGACAAGCGACCCTACATTCTTCTTCTTCAACTCTTATTCCACCACCTCTACCTAATCGTACCATTCTATGTTCGCCTGACTGACACACGCCATCACTTATGTCCCGTTCTCCACTTCACACACATGTCACGTGCTCTTCTGTCTATCACCGACCTCAAGTCACGTGATCAGCGCCGTCACGCGTCACTGGCCATCTCAATCGCAGCCGTCTCGCGCCTCCAAAGATAACCGAGGTGCCTCCAAAGACCACTGAGGCGCCTTCAAAGATAGCCGAGGTGCCTCCAAAGACCACTGAGGCGCCTTCAAAGTTCACTGAGGCGCCTCCAAAGAACGACGGATCACTGCTGCCTCAGGCACCTCCGACGCGGCTGCTAGCACCGCGCCAAACTGGGCCGAGCGGCCCGAACGGTGCGGGCCAGAGCCGACCGTGTCTGCTAGCCCCGAACGTAGCGGTGCATGGACATTGGCTAACTGACCGTGAAACTGGACACACAGGGAGGGATTGGTGATTAGCGGGCATTGGTGTGTGGTGGAATTGTGAATTTGTTAGGTGCTGTGAAGCGTGCCCAGTTCGTATGCAAATGAGTGCGGTTGCGGTGATGCGTTGCGCTGTTTATGATGATTGGATACAATTATGCCGATTGTTGATCTTGTTCACTACATGCACAAACTTAGTTGCATCACATACAAACTTGTTTTGTGGATCATTTGTAAAGTTAACGTAATTTATCGTGAGAATCGTCGACACAGACTGCTGACTGTTCCTTTTAAAATTATGATAAGTATTTGATGAATGACATTCAACAGTTCGTGTCGTTGACAGATAAAACTTATACATATTCCCTTTTTACATGCGAGTGTTGCGGTTAGACGCAAGTATGTATTGTACCTAATGGCTAACCACATGCAACTTAGTTATGTGATGATTGTAATTTTCAGTAACGGTTCGAAGCAGCTCGTTATTCCTTACATTGCTTTGGTCACACGACTTACCTAATTGTCGGGTAGCGAAGGAATTACATTAAAATGTGCAGTATATGCAATGATCAGTGCTCACAAACACATTATTCCCACATGTATGTATATCCATTCTTTACAAATATCGCATTATTATGGCCTGCTGCTCAGCTATTGTATGCTATTTGCGCAGTAGAGTCATAACGTGCAGACATAGCCATTCACTAACGCCACTCACGATATATAACCCTGGACCACATAGCCCGTTGACTGTGCACGGAACGCCGTGCAAAGTCCTCTATACACTCAATGCAGTCTATTTTGTTGTTCACGTAACCTTTTAGGCTTTTAGTCAGATGAGTTGTGTGTGAAGGTTAGCGATGCTGGTGGTTCCTCCTGCTGCTATACCTTCAGACTGGACAGTGGGCTCTTGCGGCAGGCCACGAGCCGTAGGTATATAAAAAGGAGCTTAGATGTCGCGATAGCTCCCGTAAGCGATTCACAAATGTCGTAAAGATTGTATACGGATGTCGGCTATGGAAATGGACTGGTGCGAGTTTTTGGGGTCGTAGACAAAGCCTGTTGGGTGCGCACGTGCTGTTTGGGGAAAATATCGTTCTTTGTTTTGTTGCGTCAGAATAAGCCGTGATTGCGAAGAACCCGGGTCCCGGATTACTGGAGAATTTAAATTGGTCTGTCTGAAGGTCTCAGTAAACGTCCAGATACTAGCAAAGGGATGGGGTCAAATTGTCGGAAAATGGAACCGGTAATCATTATTCATTATCTTGAGAAAACAAAACAGTAGGTTTTTTAGCACTGGATGATACAGGAAAACGTAGCCAGAAGAGAAAAAGGTAGTGCGGAATGAATAATTCATTACTTACCGTATAGCCGGTTCATTATCAGTAAGCTGAACCGTGTTGATACCATATTATGCATTTAGAATGTTTCTGACATTATGGAATACGGATGTAGCTAAACAAGACATGCATTGTTACGTGGCTGGTTGACTTTCCTCCAGTAGGTATTTTTCTGCGATCAAATGTCCCATTCATTATATGACGTTATTTCCCATGTAATCTCTGGGTGGGATTGTGACTCAATGTCACCGCTAGTTTTTCTTTAGACGCAATATGTGGGCTCCATGCTCGTATTTAGGAGCTACGGCTGACGGACCTGCTTTGTGGACAGTTTCATTTGCTAAAGTTTGATCAGGTACCCGTAGGTATATCAAATTAGCAACTGAGGAAATGGTGTCGGAAGCATGTAAACAATTATTTTTTTGCGATACAAATGCTGCGCTGTTTTAAATCAGGCAAATCATTGCGCCCATCAGGCACTGAACCTTGTAGAGCTACCGCCTTTGTCATATAAGCCCGAAGCGAAAGAAGAATTCACAGGAAGGGCCGTCCAATTGGGCTCAATCAGGGTCAATCTGTGCGGGCTTAGGTCATCATCCCAGTAATCTTTGCAGCCGTTTGTGAGGGGCGTAAATCGTAATGGTCCACATCACGTTCCGTTAGTGATCTGATTGTGAGCAGACTGGTATTGACGTGCATCAGTCGAACAGCTCCACTAGGCAGCAGGCAAAAAAAAAGCGGGCTCTGAGGAAAAGTCATAAACTGTAGAAACTTTTATGGCGTGCCTGTGCATCCCAGGAATCCCGTTTGAGGGGCTAGGTCAAATTCCGGTTGGAATTAAAACCAAGTTTTCACCCGGGTTTTCTCTCATAGAATGTTTATATCTCCCTACAAGGCTTATTTCTTAACCCGCGCCCTGCTGGGGGGGGGGTGTTTGAACACCCCCCCTTGTGGTTTTTCGCAAATATCTCAAAAACGGCGGCGCGGAGCGCCGCAGTTTTTGGTACACCTTATCATACATCAATTCTACACATGTTGTGAAAATTTCAGACCAAGGTCATTCAAGGTCAGGTCACCAGGTCACTTGAAGTGACCTCACCTCATAAAAAGTTTCAATGTCTGTCATAGCTACACCGAGTAACCGATCGCTTTGAAACTTTCAGCGATTGCTAAGAGCAATAGCATGTACAAAATGTATGTATATCTCAGAATTTTGATATCGATGACCTAAGGTCAGGTCAATTTTGCGACCTCCCCATTATAAGTCAATGGGAGAAAATTGAAATGCGCCTCTTTTGGACAAAAGACATTATAAACACTCCCAAACACCGAATTACAAGTAGTTTAGACACACTGAACATGAAAATGGTGTCCGTGACCCTTGTTTATGCCCTGAGGTCATCTTAGGTCACGAATGGTATCTAACAGTTTTTCGCAAATAACTTTTGATAGAGGCATGCTAAAGCGATGAAAACGCCTTAGATGTGTTCAACTCGACGATACGGATCGACTGATATGCAACATGACCCTTTCCGGTCAGGTCATGACCTTGACCCGAGGTCAAATTTTCAAGTTGACCTTTCAAGGTCAAGTTATAGTTCATTCGATGCGTCTTGACGAGAGGAACACAATGCCGGTAAAAGTAAGCTCGTAAAAGGCTTGGGTCAAAAGTTATTGCAGAAAAACTGTTTCCGAAAAAAATCGGCTATTTTTGCAGTTTTTGCCCCCTGCAGGCAAAACCGTTGACGTTAGGTCAAATCTGAGAGAATTACTCAGAAAGGGCTTTAATAGGGCTATCGAATGCGCTTTTCCGCGGCGCTGTAGCTCTATTGGTTCTCGAGTTATGCGTTGGCTTCTTGGAAATTTTCGACATTCGACCTGGAAATCGGCGAAATTTTGCCTTCAATGACCTCTGGTGACCTGACCTTTGACCTGACCAAAAAATTGACCGAAGTGATTTCGTCATTATTTTTGACGCTCTTTCGAACGCCGCCTTCCGCGTATCGCTACGTGGCCCAGGAGCCGAGTTACAAGGGGGGGGGGTGTTCAAACACCCCCCCCCCCAGCAGGGCGTGGAAATCCAGGACCCCCAGCCGGGCGCGGGTTAATATACGAGGGCGGTCTGAATCTGTCGACCGGATGTGCTCTTCCTTCTGTTGGATTCTTTGCCGTCTCTCCCCACTCGGGCCTCCAAATCGGTCACGTTTCTGCTGCAGTATAACAGAAGCCAAACCTCGAGGAAAATCTGCGCCCGCTACTGTCCCTGCCGCCGCCCCGACCGCGGCCTCGCCGGGGAAAGGCAACACTGGACCGTCACCTGGCTCCCGGGCGCGCACTGTTGGTGGGTGACGTATGGCGGCAGGCGGTACCGCACTGTACCCAGCACGTGCAGAGCTGGGGTGAGCTGACGCAGGCAGCTGGTGTGCTGAGTTGGCCCGAACGAGAGGGGAGGGGCGGACGGTCTGCGTTTGGTGAATGCGGGGTGAGAGGTGTGAGAGGTGTGGTGAAACGGGAAAGGAAAGGTAAAGATGCGGATGGGACGGAGTTACGGTTCAGGAGGGAGATGGAATGGACACTTTTGTCAGCGATTAGTGCTGGGGAGGAAGGGACTTATTTACCTATCGCTATGCTAATGTAACGGTGTGAGCCGAGGGACCGGGAACTCGCATGCCTGGGACTAGCGATAGAATTTGCTGGAACCATCTCAGTTCGCTCAGGGGTGCATACCGTGAAATGTACTCTGCAGCGCCGCACTAAGTGAGAGAAAGTATTTCGGGGAACGCCATGGAGGGAGGCATTCTGGTCAGCTGGATCAGCAGCACAGCGGCCATCCTGAGCTCTCCCCCGCCGAGGCTGCAGAATTTCACCCTTTGAGACTGACCGCATTTTATAAAAGCCATGTGTTGTCAGCGCCCGCCTTCTAGTTGACGCAGGCTCTTCCTTTTTAGACTTACTGCTGCCCAAATCCACGCACGCGATGCCTGCCATTAGCCGCTTACGGTCACGAGGCCTTGTAACACAACAATCACTTTTCACGGAGGAGTCGGTCGTAGAGTGGCATTCCTCGGCCATAGTGACTTGTTTACTGTTCAGCGCTGCTTTCTTTAGCTATCTCCCCCTAGATGTGGGTTTCATAGCCGGGCGATGCCCGTTTGCGTGGTTACGAGCCGCCTTATCTGTTCAGGGATGTCGGGAATCAGCTGTTCAAACATCCGTATCGCATTATCATTCGGAGAAGGTATATGAACTTACCTCGAAAAATGCTTGTTACGGTCTTCATTTTCGTGTTCCAGTTTTCTTGAGATTGTTCCCTGCAAATACCCTTATAAGCTGTAAGGTCTATTTACATATATCAGGCATGCTCGAAGTTTTTGTTTTGTCTCATGTATGCATCTGCTGAATGTTGATGAGCATTATATAGAGGATTCTTCATGGCTCCGAGTGGAAGATCAGGATATCTTTTCCAAGCGGGTTACTGAAAAACCGAGCGACGAAGGAGCGAGGTTTTTCTGTAACACGCGAGGAAAAGATATTCGATCTTCCACGAGTGAGCCATGAGGAATCCTATATCTTTCCATGTTGAGGTTTATTCTTAATTAATTAAATATTATATTTAAATGTATTCATCTATATAAAAAAGATTTAGAGCAGTTTGTTTTTATTTCATAAGTTTCATACATAAACAGCCATTAAAATGCCGTTCGGTTATTGACCCATTATCAGTTGAACTCTTGATTTTTGGCTATGACCCTCGAGACCTTATCTTCGCATCTCAGAGAGATGCAGAGATAACAAATTCTTATCTTTGCATCTCAGAGGAGTGCGAGATAGAAATATCCCTGCACTGTAGACCCAATGGCAAATAAACCTCAACTAGAAAGATAGTACAATAAAACTCTGTTACCTATTTTTGACGTCTTTTTTTCCCCCATAAAATGCTATAAGCTGGATGGCATGTGCATGCAATTTTACGCATCGGTTTCCTCTGCTTAAAATGTCATGGCTTTTCACGAAGCACCTGCCCTACTATTTCATGACAGTCGACGGTGTGTCGTGATTTCCTGTCGCGACACCGGATCCTTCTACCCGGCATATCATTTCCCTGCCGACCCCATGAGTCGTTACTGGAGGAACGCGCACTCTCACTCGCTCGCAGAGGACACCTCGCGGCATATCGTGACCTCGCATACACCGTTCGTGACTGAACGCGGAGGTGCGTGGCTTCCCACGGAGTCCGACTCCCCCCCCCCCCGTGTCGGCCTCTGACACGAGTCGGTACTGAGGGCGGCACCCCGCCGCGCCTGAAGAACACAGCGAGCCACCGGACTGCACCCGCCCCTTGTTTTTGTACCCGGTGGGCTATCTCAATCCATCTAGGAGATTGGGGAAGAGGGTCGCTCTCCGCCCTGCGTGATCCGCTCAGGTCACCCGGTGTCACAGCTGATGGGTCTGATGAGGGATACCCAGCCCTGCTGACGTGACTGGCCGAGATATGATCTGTCGCATGATGGGGTAGTCAGGTGACCTAGTCATTGGCTGACCCATCTCACAATACCCGCGTTATGAATGGAACCACTGACATCTATCCAAGATCCATCATTACTTGCCCCATTTCTTATCGCCATTCATTGTGGATGTCCTCGGCTTTGATTGTGTGCGCCGATTGTTGAAGCTACGTAGGGCTCCGTCATTGGCGTCACAATGAACTTAGCTGACGCTCCTGAAGAAGGGTTGGCTCATAAGGGTCAGGTCAAAGGTCAACGTCAGGTCAAATCCGAGGCTATTTAGGGTGCACACTGAGTGCACAACTCTATTCTTCGTACTGTTCTTTTGTTATTGATGCAGGCTATAATTATTTACGCCATTAAATTCATGACATAGGGGCCTAGGGCTTATGTTTAGGTTGCGAGCATGGACCATGAAAAGCAATCAAAACAATCACCTTAAGTGATTAGAGACATCCATATCTCCTTTTCTACCTCGTGCGAATTGTGAGGGAGCTTTGGGGGAAAATGTGGATCTTGACTGGGCTCGTGTTACTTCCCGGAAAGTATCGTCTTCCTTTTCTTAGGTCCGTCTGGCGCGCACATACTGTTGGGCTCTTTGTGTTTGGCGATGACTGATGCCGCTTCTGGCCGGGGTGTTGCGTTCTGTTCAGCCCCACCCACTCCACCGACACCCGAGACCTGTCTGTTGTGACAGGACCACAGGCGTCGGTCAGATAAACCAGGTGTGCCCAGTCGGTCACTGGGCGCCCACCGCTCCTTCAGTCGCCCCGAGACAGGCTCGACATCCGTCTCACCTGCACCCGGCACACCGGCCTGACTGGCACCCGTACAGGGAGTGGTCGGGTTCCTGTCAGCGTGGCCTTCCAGCACGCAACGGGAGCTGGACTAGACACCCCGCCAGGAATGTCCTCCAGAGTCCAGAGTCCAGTGTCCGCCGCCCACCGTCGCCAGCTCGACTGTCCGTGTTGCTGTCTGTGTCCGGTTCTTTCAACCCCCCGCTGTTTCACCGTTCGTTGAGGGAGGAGGGAGAGGGGTAGGCGGGGACGGCCACCTGGTCGGTGTCAGGACGGTGAGCATTGTCCGCCTGCTGCTTACAGTCGTCGCCTGAGATTGTGTTCGTTTTCCCGGATTGACTTTATCGGATCGCTCGTCAGCTGCTGCCTGCCAGCTGTCAGCGGTCAACCGGCCTCAGTCAGCGGTCTGGAAAAGTTAGCAGTCATCGTCATACGTCGGCAGTCAGCAGTCAACAATCAGCGGCCAACAGACAACAGTCAGCAGTGGGTTTCAGTAGTCATCCCTCAGCAATCAGCCGTCAGCAGTGAAAAGTCGACGTCAGCTGTACCTGTACAGTGTACAGTCAGCAGTCAGAGGTCCAGCGTCAATCATACGGCAGGCAGCAGACAGCATGCAACTAGCCGACTGACCGTCCGCTCGTCCGGCCGCTCAGGAAACCGGCACATCCTACCCGTCCGAGCAGTCTGCATGTTGTGATGTTTTCGTCAGTGACACCGGCAGGGAGTGCTATAAAGGAATGTCGACCGGTTCGGCCGACGGTCAGCTCCTGGAGGAAATTCGAGGAGCCGGGTTGTGTAATGGTTAGCCATGTGTGTATAGGTCGCTCTCGCCTGAAGCAGAGTGTGCTCATTTGCTCAGTGCGGACTTGTCGCCGGTACAAGCGCTGGGAGATAGCGTCAAGAAACGGGACGGGCTGAATCCTCTGAGGTATTCTGTTTGCCGCCCAGACTATGATGTCACATTTTTACGGGGAAGAAGTGTATCTTTGAGGTCGATCCGGTTGTCCAATCATTCCGAGGCCGGTGATTTCACCTTGGATGTTAACGGTATCGGTTTAAGCTGCACTCAGAACGGGTTCGGTACCGATACACTGATAACTTATTATCGTTCCACTTGTCTCAAGATGGCCAGGGCTGTGCGTCACTCCTTATATGCCGATGACGAGCGTCAATACGAGCAACCACTCGTAAGCAATACGAGCAACCGTCAACCACTCGTAAGCAACTGATACCGCCACGAGTGGTTTCGCAGCGGATGCTCTCGATCTATTAGGAAATATGCCGTCTTACACAATCAATTGCATCGCCTATGTCGAACCACCTCAACTTAGAACTCCACACTCTCAGCACCCACTCCCGCGGCCACACCGCTTACAGCTGCTTGCTGAGTGCTGACCCAGCGCTGACCGCTGACCCGGCGCTGATATCAGCACCTTCTCCCAGTCCCGGCTCTCTTCAGCGCCCAGCGCTTCACGGCTGCCGCTCGGCGCTGCGCCGGACAGACGGGATGTTTTCGCCGACCGAGGGCGGCCGACCGGCGAGCAGCCGGCGCTCTGTTTTTGTCCCGAGAGAGCAACGGTCGAGCCTCGTCATCCGGCAGAGCGGACGCGCACGGTCGTGCCTCAACGGGCGGGGACGGTCACGGACGACCACGGACGCCCTTCGAAGGGCGCGCTAAGGTGTCCACGGCGTCCGCAGTGGACGGTTACTGGCACCCTTGATGGACGCTTCCGGTCGTCCACACATTTCACTGTGACCTCCTGGTAGACAGTCACGGTAGTTCTTCGGCTCACAGCTGTCCATCAGGATGCGCTTGATCACGGTTGTCCCTCAGTGAACGATCACGGTCGTCCCTTGACCCTCAGGGGACGTTCGTTCACGGCCTCCCCTAGGCTGCAGCGTCCAAAATCGTCCCATTGTCAACCACCAGGTGCCTGGTGGATGACCGCCGCCGAGCTATCTTGGGCGCTGTGGCCTGTGGGCTCGCCGTTTCAGTCTGCAGCCGAGAGAGAGTGGATTGGTGCGCTCCGGCAGGCAGATGCAGGAACGGGCGGGCATGACCGGTCGGAATGACAATGGCGGACGTGTCTGGTACCGCTCTGTCGTGTCGGGCAGACTGGCCAGTCACGATGGAGAGGTCGGAGCACTGGTGGCTTTGTCTGGGGACGATCGGTGGCGACTTGTTTTGGCGGCTCCTTCGGTGGGGCGCTGCTGATATGATCGTGTCGTAGTCTATCGATCTCGAGGACATGCCATTTGAAATTGTTGTATCGTGCAGCGCCCATCTCGGTCGGCCCCAAGACTTACCATCATGCTGTCGCCTATCAATATTATCCTTAAATGAAGCCAATCCTGTCACTTCCGAGTACCGTGGCCGTCTTTTTCCATCCAGTCCCGCACTTTTTCGACGTGTCTATTCAGCCATTCTGTCCTATTCTGTTTCTCAGTACGCACGATACCGTCCCATTTCGTCGCCCCTTCTCTTTGCTGCTCAGCTCTGGGCTCTCCTCTCCTATCCACACCTGGCTCCGCCCCTGACCGCCGTGCTCCAATCTAACCGAAGCCGTTGCGGCCGGCAACATCCCCGAGGCTCGGCCTTCTCAACCGCCGCCGCTGCTGAGGAGGATAACAGTGCCTGACGGGAGGCGATTGACGGTGCGCCAGAGGCGGTTATAGCGCACCGGCGGCACTGCACGGCGCGGCGGAGGTGGTGCGGCGACCTTACCCAGATGGCAGCACGGCTGAGTCTTGGCTGACCGGCAGACCTCGACTGAGCTGGGATATAACCGTCAGTTTCAGAAAACCAACGTTGCTGGCGCCCGACACGGGCGGAACGAACATGTATTGTTCAAAACAATAAACATAATGGCGGTGGCGCTGAACTGGGGAGAGAGAGAGAGAGAGAGAGAGAGAGAGAGAGAGAGAGAGAGAGAGAGAGAGAGAGAGAGAGAGAGAGAGAGAGAGCACGCGCCCAGACTGACCCGGCGAGCGGTCGGGTCACCGCCGCTCGCCGGACCAGCGCCGCCCGTGGCGGGCGCCGCAACTACGAGTGGCGCTGAACTGGGGAGAGAGAGAGAGAGAGAGAGAGAGAGAGAGAGAGAGAGAGAGAGAGAGAGAGAGAGAGAGGAGAGAGAGAGAGGAGAGAGAGAGAGAGAGAGAGAGAGAGAGAGAGAGAGAGAGAGAGAGAGAGAGAGAGAGAGAGAGAGAGAGAGAGAGAGGCCATTTATTCAATAACAAACAGATGAATATAACAAATAAAGTAGGCAATTGGCGCAAAAGTGCTACGCACTTAAATCATGGCGCCGCTTGCTAAACGAAAAGTACTCAATGTATTTAGCAACAATAATAATGATGAAACACAATGGAACAAGAAGAACGGAATAAAACCGAAGCCGTTGCGGCCGGCAACATCCCCGAGGCTCGGCCTTCTCAACCGCCGCCGCTGCCGCTGCTGCTTATTTTGGGAGGGCGGTCGCGGGTCAGTAGGCACTGGTCAGTGGCCACTGGTCATTGGTTGACAGTCGCCTGTAGTTGGATGAATGCTGGTCAGTAATGGGGGATCACTGGCCGTCTGTCATTGGTCATTGATCTGCCGATTAAGCGGTCACTGGTCAATAGTCGAAAGTCAGCTGTGAGTGGTCACTGGTTCCCGTCTGGTCAGTGGTCAGCGGTCAGTGGTCTCTGGTCACTGGTCAGTGGTCATCAGTCATGGTTCGCTGCTCGCTGCTGGCAGGAAAGGAACTGGGAAGACCTCGTTTCGGATGGATGGCTCGGATAGATGGGATCAATCCGTGCAGCGCCCAGCGGCAACAGGTGGATGATGTTTAGGTAGATGATGACCGAGGTGCCAGAGATGTTTTGAGAGCAAATGTCTGGTTAGACCTTGCAGTTTGTCGTACAGAGCATGCCGGTTAACAGCTATAATCAATAATCATTGATCACTCGGTGCTCCATTGGCGACGAATTTACATTCAGTGTTGGATGATATATGAACGTTTTTCTTCAACCTTCTCATTCCAGCGTGTAATAATAATCATTAATAGTGTGTGTAATGGTCCATTACACAATGGCGTATATCCCTATACAATCGTGACATCTTTTCAATGCTGTGATAGAGCATACCATTCATTTGTTTGTGTTTGGAAAGTCAGCTATTGTTTGATGCCATTTATCCATTTTCCCGTCATAGTTTTAGCGGCTTGTTTGATGTCGCTCGCGACGTTCCACGGCCCGTGTTTAGCAATTATGTGAACGGCCTGTGAAGCCAAGCTGACACGCCAGCTGTGCATCCGGCATTTTAAAAATTAACTTATTTTTGGAACCGACTTTCCGCACACGTTTACTGACTGCTCGTTTGTTGAATCGGATTGTGTTGTTGACCACATTCGTCGTTGATGTGCTGCTATGTCCCTGTTACCTGAATAACTTCACCATGTTTATGATTCAGATTATTTTGTTTTGACATCACGAGTGCTCGACTGAAGGACGGGGAAAGTGGGCCTTGACGCCCGCCAAAAATGTCCCTGTGGAGTATGACAGGTGTTTTCATTTGTGCACGGCACGAGCAGAGCTGCAGGAGCTCAAAGGAAAAGCTCTGAGCCGCGAAGTACATAGCACTACGCCGAATTCGCTGTACTCCGTGGCATTGGCAATATTTGCCCCAGTTCGGGCTGTGCAGTGTGCATGCCTGGGGTATTACAGATATGACCTTGCTGGTAGCTCACTGATCCAGGGTATCAGTTGATCGGGAATTATTGCCTCTGCACTACGGTCGAACGGTCCCGCACTCCACCCAAACCTGTACCTAAAGATCTCGTCTCTGCGTGACTACATTCAGTTCAGTTCAGTTCAGTTGTGTATTTTGGTAACCAAGGACAAAAAACGTCGGAGAAAATAATCTTGGATCGGCGCAAAAGCAAGATGCTTAAATCAAAGCGCCTTTCCCACAAAACATAAACACAAATAAACACACAAAAAAGGAAATATTAACACGATAATTAAGTGCAAAATAAAACCACCTGGCCACAGGTCACGACGGCCCCGCCAGCAGCCCGCCGAGCAGCCCTCCGGACATAGTCACCAGGTGTCCGGGCCCCGGGCAGCAGCAATCGGGTACGATGTTGTGTAGTGTGTGTGTGTGTGTTATTGCTGTGTGTGTGTGTTGAAGCGTTGAGTATGTACAATGTATGCATGGAGATGATGTGTTATGCTGATTCCCTGGTTCTCAGTAAGATCATGGCCGAATAGGATTGCACTAAGCTTGCGTTTGTAGGAAAGGTTTTCGAAGTTTGGTATGATTGTTCGCGCCGCGTTAAGGAGGAGTGATCTTTGGTGTGTATATAGGGGGCACCGGAGTATGTAGTGTGCAGTGTCTTCTTGGTGATGTCCACATGCGCATGCTGGGCTTTGTGCAAGTTGGTACTGATATAGATGTGCATGTAGATGTGATAGACCGACTCGTAGTCTGGTGTGGTATGTGTTGGCCATTTTGGTCCCTACTGAATGCAGTGTTGGTGGCTCCGGTGCCCCAAATCGCTGCCAGACTTGACGAGTGAATTCACGGCGGGATGGGGTATTGCGAAGGGTTTCAGGAAGAAGATTCCATTGCCGAATGGTGGTAGGGATAAAGGACTTACGGAAGGATGTTAAACGGGTAGTAGGGACTGAGAGAAGTTGGGCTTGGCGTAGTCTTAGTCCCGTAGCTCTTTGTCTCGTGTTTGTTATGAGGTTTGTCAGGTATGAGGGGAGGGGAGGGTCGTTGTAGAATAGTCGATGGAAAAATATCAGTCTGTGTATGCGTCGTCTGTCTGCCAGTCGTTCCCAGCCTAAATCTTTAAGTAGAGCGTCAGTAGATGTTCGAAATAGGGCCCCAGTCACCAGTCTTGCGCAGCGATTTTGTAAAGTTTGCAGTCTCGCTGAGTCGAACAAGGTCAAGTGTCCATCGTAAATAATGTCGCAATAGTCGAAGTGTGGTCTAATGTATGTCGTAATCAAGTCATTCAGCACACGTCTCGGTAAGAATTTCGCAATAGGGTAAACTGGTCCTAAATGATAGTTCACTGTCTTGATGATCGAATTTACATGTTCGTGGAAATGTAGGTCAGTTGAAAAGGTGAGGCCGAGATGTTTGTGACTTGTTGAACTTGGTATTCTTTGTCCGTTAAACTTTAATTCTGGATTTGAGTTATTCTGTTTGTTTGTAAATGTTTGCAATACTGTTTTTTGTGCACTAAAAGTAATAGCCCATTCTGATCCATATTTACTGATATTGTCTAAGTCGTTTTGTAGGGATTGTAAATGTGTTTTGCTGTTCTGTGGATAGGAGGAATATAAAGAAGTATCGTCTGCATAGAAAAGAGTTTCGTTTGTTGTTTTGTTTGATAGGTCATTAAGGTACATCAGGGCGAGCAGAGGCCCAAGAACCGAGCCTTGAGGGCAGCCTGCCATAATTTTTTGTGGATGAGAAAAACTGTTGCCTATGCGTACTACTTGGGTTCTGTCTGAAAGGTAACAAGTTAACCATGATAACAGTGTGCCGGATATACCGTATTGAATTTCACATTTTGCAAGAAGTGCTTCATGCCAAATTTTATCAAAATATTTAGAAATATCAAGGAAAATTGCAGTGAAATTTTTGTTGTCATCCAGGGCGGAATACAGTTGATGTGTCAGATAAAGAAGTTGAATTTGAGTGCTATGACCCGGCCGATAACCACTTTGTTTTTCAGTAAAAAGATTATTTTCGATTAAGTGTGTGTATATTTTTGCAAACACTATTTTTTCTAATATTTTTGATAGGGAGGGAAGAAGACTGATGGGTCTGTAGTTAGTTGGGTCTGAATTTGAACCTTTCTGCTTGAATATTGGAGTTATGCAAGCTTTTTTCCATTGAGAGGGAAATTTTCCTAGCCTAAGAGATTTATTAAATAGTTTTGCAAGAGGTTTGGCAATGAGTAGTGCTGACATTTTCGGCGTAGGTATCATGGTGCATGCCTCGCACATGCAACCCGAAACACATACGCTTCCTATTTGGGCCCTCAGTGGCATTATATACTCAGCTTATCTGCTCCCGCTCACAGCACTGTAAGTACGAGTTACGTCCACTGTTCGAGCTATCAGTACCCCCACTCTCCTGTCTTGACTCTTGGGCGTTTGTGCTCGCAACCCGTTCGATATCGATTGTGTCAGGACTATCAGTAACTCTCAATCCCTCCTCTGTCTGCCCACAGCCCGTTCGTGAGCCGGAATGGCGCACCAAGCACCCCAGCTCGACCAGCGCCGTCAGTCCGGCCGGCAGCGGCTCCTCCGTCGGCGCCGGATCGCACAAAGTCACCGAGATGGCCACCATCTTCCAGCGCGGCCGGACGGCCACCAGCTCGGCGCCGCGCCGCGACAAGAGTCTGGAGCGCGACGCGGCGCTGGTCCGCTCCGAGAGCCACCTGGCCCGCTTCAACAGCGCGCGCGCCATGTTTGAGAGCATGACCGAGCGGCCCGTGGAGCGGCGCCAGAGCGCCAAGGAGCGCTCCCGGCCGGCCGCGCAGGGGGGAGGCGCCTCCTCGCGCTCGGCGTCGGCCGCGTCGCGCCTCAGCTCGCGCTCGCCGTCGCCGCCGTCGGACGGCCGGCGGCTGAGTGAGGGCAGCTCGGGCAGCTCGGGCCGGGCCAGGGGCGAGTCGGAGCCGCCGCCGAGCGCCTGTTTCCGATCGCAGATCGGTCGGATCGGCTCCGGGGGGCGGCAGCTGGGGCCGGCAGAGAGACTGGCTAACAGGGAACGGGCGGCCAACGGCAACGGCCACACCCGCGCTCACGTGACCAACGGCGTGGTGAAGGATCGCAGTCACGTGATCAACGGAACGACAGACGTGAAGAAGTCGTTCAACAGCGTCTCAAAACTGAACTCCGACTCGGACTCAAACAGCAAGATAGACACGCCCACAAAATCACCCTCCAGCTCCAAAGACACCGTGCCAGACGGTGTGACCATCCGTAGTCACGTGACCAGCTCCCCACGGGTCACCCGTCCGGTGAGCGGGCCGCCGTCTGTGTCACGTGGTCTGGACGAGATCCCCACCCGCGGACCGAGCTGTGCCGACGACCAGGGCTCGGCGTCCTCCGGCGAGCGGCGGGCGCTCTCCAGCCGGGAGCTGGTGAACCGCCAGAAGAACTGGATCTCGCACTTTACCACGCGCCGCGGCGAGCGGGAGGCGGCCTCTCCGGAGCGCCAGGAGCAGCGGAGGCTGTCCGAGCCGGGCACGGCGGCCGTGGGCAGCGCCACCAGCCCCAACGCAGGTAGGATCGAGTCAGCAATCCTACATATTTTTACGCATTTGTATTTTTTCCTCTCATTTTTCTTTGATTATTCATATTATCCAATAATCTGCCAAAAGAAAATGTCGCTGATTTGATTTATAGATAAGGTTTTGCCAACATTTTCAGCTAGAAGTTATTCAAACAAACGCTTAGATAGGCACTACGTCTCGGCCACGTGGCTGCCGAATAATGTGTTTGTCATCTCCGGGCTCCGGCCGTGGGTACAGGTCACGGTTTGATGCGCTCACTCACACAGAGTGTTGTTATTGGCGTTAACGGAAGAGCGCCGGCGGAGGCTCACGTCTGTCCATCCCGTGTGACTGTCTGAGTGGCAGTATCTCACGGAAGGTGTTCTGACTGGACGAGACTGACCAGCGACAGGCAATGGTCAGAGGTACCGCGTGGGTAGTCGGTGTGTTACGGTAGATGTGTCATGGAGACCGGAAATCGTCGCACGCTCCATTACGGTTGATACGGTATGGCTGGTACGCCAATTCTGGAGCGTGTGATTTAGTCAAACTGTGGGATAATGTGAAAATAACAAAGGCAGTGGATGGCGTCGGATAATGTGTCGGTAATGAAAATCATCCAGCCTCTATGAGTGTTCTCAATCATTATCAGATCATTGCTCTCAGTTTGACAGACTTTTACTGTGTATTCGCAGGTCGCAGCTATGTCCGTCCCGCTGAGAAGCCGTACGTGGAGCGAAGTCCGTCGGCTCCCCAGCAGAAGTACCGCCCGGAGCCCAGCGCTGCCCCGGCCCCAGAGCCGTCCCCTCCGCAGTCCCGGACCGGCGTCGGACACTCCCCGGAGGCCTCCCCGCCGCGTCAGACCCGCGACATCACTCCCGGGGAGTCGAGCCCTCCGCGGAGTCACTCCCAGAGGCCGACTCACGAGCCGCCGCCGCCGCCGCCGCCGCCGGCTCTGCTCAGCCCGCAGACCCCGCGCGCTGCAGACACCCCGGCGTCGCCCGAGACGAGTCCCGAGTCGCTGTCACCCTCGCTCGGGTCGGCGGACAGGTCGGGCCCCGCTCCGCCGCGGGAGTCGTTCAGCTCTCAGCTGGGCTCCCCGCCGGCTGGATTAGTCAGCGAGACGCGCCGATGGCTCGAACTCGGTCTTCCTGTGGAACAGATGCCAACACCCCAGCTGTTCCCTCCGGCTCCGGCGCGTCCTCCCAAACCGGACAGCCTACGCGCTCCTCCGGCCGAGCCGTCCTCCCAGGACTCCCCTCCTCCTCCTCCGCTCCTGCCGGCCACAGAGTCCAGCTCGGAGGACTCGCTCGATCAGGTGCCGTCGAGAGATGTGGCGTCGGCGGCGCTGCGGCAGCTGGATCGCCTGGTGTCGGGACCGGAGAGGGAGGTCTCCCCTCCACCGCCGCCCCCGCCGGGGCAGGGTGGACGGGAGGGGCTGTGGGGGATCGGACGGGAACAGGATCGCGCCGTGGAGGAGGGCAACAGCGGCGACATCGAACAGCTGCAGGTGAGGATGTGTGCGTGTGTGCGTGTGTCGCGCTTTGTGTTGTTATTTTGAGTGCAGCTTAGATAGAATACCCTGAATACCCTGTCAGATTGGAAATATGATATCAGGGGTCGCTGATCTCACTGATCGCGCTATAAAGAAGCGTTGCTGATAACACGTCAGTGGCACTCAATGATGGCGTTGTCCTCCACTTCACCCATTACCTGCCACGTCTAAAAGTGTACTGTGCTATAAATTTATCGATACTTGTGCGGGTGTCATGTACTTGATGACGTCATCCGACAGGATGTTTTATCGCTTAGAGCATATGGGGTTGCATGAACGTGAACTTTCGGACGATTTTTTTCGCCGTAGTGTGCATCTATGTATATCATCTTGCTCTATGTTTTTGCTCTTATTGATGAAATTTTGATCGTGTGCGCGTTTGGCTGTTTCAGTTTGACTCTTCCCCCGAATCATGTGACGGCCCAGAGTCAATGACTCTGGCCGAGGCGGACCAGTTTCTCAGCTCTCGGTGAGTTTGACTCCGCTGCATGGGCTGACCGGCCCGACTCGAGGTTGGTTGGATTCTAATTCGGCTATGTAAAAACTGCCAACTGTATGCTTTTTTCGTGGTAACAATATGCTTGCGGTGCTGGTATTTTTAACGATTTATTTTGAGCTGCATTTTGCTGCAATGAAGAATGACTTACACCGGTGTTACATCGTTATGTATGCTCAGGCCTGTATGTGCAAAGAGCTGCAATGCTTTCGCAACAGATATCGTATCGTTGAAAAGATCACACACAGTCTTACGATGCTGGTGTGCAAAGCCCAGTCCTCTATTATAATTCGTCATCAATTGATTGCTCGTTGCCTATGCCGACTGTATGATAAGATTTGCTTGGATAGGTACTACGTCATTGTTTTGAGTATGTTACGTGCGACCTTTGCATTTTCCGGGCATAAGTTTTAAAATCGCATGCAAAATATCTACTACCAACTACAAGACTACCCCGGACGGCATACTTAACTTGTCGAATGGCATGTCTCTAACCCGCCGCCGGCTTGCATCTAACCAGTGTCGCTCCTAACTTCGGTAAAATGCGATACGCATACGGTACGGCCACTAACCGCTCACTGTTTCCTCCCCGCAGAATCGCCGATAGGAGGGAACAGTAAGTGCTATTTGACCAGATTATTTCTTTGACCCATGTACTATCTCCTCGTCATACTCCAGTTGACCCTTTAAAGCCTTAACTTGTGCTAGTCATTTATACTTCTAAGAAAACCGACATTGACCTCTAACAAGTCACATTTCTCTCTAAGGAAATCAGTATCACATCACGTTGTTCTATGTGCCGTCATTTCCATTCTATGAAATTTTGACTTATTTAGATGCTTGTTCGCCATTTGCAATTTTCCTATTATTCCTGTATGAAAATTACCGCACAGAATTATGATTGTTTACATTTTCCAGCTCAAAGGAGCTCCTCTCCGAGTCCCAAGCTCAGGAGGCAGAACGACTCCTGGCGGCGGCCAACCAATTGGAAAACAGAATCCACCTCAATGGCCAATCAGCATCAGCCATTGACACCGACGACCAATCGCGTGAGCGGCTGCTGGGCTCTGACCAATGGGAGGCTGAGCAGCACTCGCCGGCCGAGTGCGACCAATCACCGCCAGCTGACGTCATCACCGGCAGCCAGCGACAGGAGCGACTGGTCTCCGAAGAGCTGACACTGGAAATTGTCTATGATGATGAGTCACCCAGAGTCGTCTATTTTGAGGAGGTCGGTAGCCAGATGGATTCGCATTTCAGATAAATCTCAAAACTCAAATGCTATAAAGTTATTAACTTCATGAACTGCGATGAATAAGTTTTGCGTCGTTATTTTGAATTTTGCCTTCGTGCCAGATTGCTTGGTTTGAAAAAGTAAATGCTGTTTACTTTTGTTGTACTAGGGATCGAAACTTTTTCCTGGCAGCGCGATTGTTATTGCATTCAGATACCCTGCAGGCTGTAAGCTTGATATAAATGCAAGTATAAAAGCCTAACCGAATCATCGTCGTGTGATCGTTTTCATCAAGGGTCACATCCCCTCCCAATCTGCTTCCCCCAGGTTCTGGTGAAGGACGGCGTGCATTTCCTGGAGGACGGCCACTACTGGGAGGAGGGACTGCCCCTCTCCGGGGAGGAGCCCGAACCGGAGCTGGTGCCCACCAAGGTGTTCAAGCCGCCCTCCAAGGTGTTCTTCAGCCGAGACCCGGTCAGGGTGAGTTAGAGAAGGAGACAGAATCGTCAATCGGTCGTGGCGGACGGGATGGGAATGGGACAGCCGTAAACACTGACTAGGTATGTAGCTTGAGGAAATCTTTTTTTATTTAGCTGGTTATTTATGCATAGTTTCCCTAGGCTGTTTGTGGTTTGTCTTGCTTCATCCTATCAGCCTTCTTACTGAGGTGTCGTAATACAAAGTTTCGTCTTCGTCTGTCCACAGATCTACAGCACGTTTACGTCTAGCGAGTACGACCGCAGGAACGAGGATGTCGACCCGGTGGCCGCCTCGGCAGAGTACGAGCTCGAGAAACGTGAGTACGAAACAGCATGGCCGTGACACCTCCGCGATAATCCTATATAGGCAGCACACGAATAAATACGGAGTCATGGCTGCCTCTTGATTGTCGAAACTCGTGGAATGGGACCTGTTCAGTAGTTCAATCTTGTATTACGATGATGATAGATTATAGCCATGTAGTGCTTCTATGCCTGCTGAACGTATCACAAATAAGTACATGACCTTCTCTCTGGCCCTCCGGCCTTCGGCAGTCGGCTTTTCCTACTGTTGTGTTATCTCTTTGGCACCGTGGATGCTCAACATCAAGCGTCGTTTCTTTTTTGCCCCGCCAGGTGTGGAGAAGATGAACGTGTTCGAGGTGGAGTTCGACAAGGGACCGGAGGGACTCGGTCTGAGTATCATCGGCATGGGGGTGGGCGCCGACGCCGGGCTGGAGAAGCTCGGAATCTTTGTGAAAACCATCACCGAGGCCGGCGCGGCGCACAAGGATGGCAGGATTCAGGTGGGTTCAGGCCCACAGGGACAATAGACGGAGCTTTTAGTGCCTCGAAAAATTAAAAGTTGATTTGAGGTCATTCAGCTGAGCAGCTTCTTATAATGCTTTTAAAGTTTCATCAAGTGACAGTTCAATTTATTCAATTTGTAATATTTTCGTGTGATCGACAACTGAAAGCTGTCGGAAGCCATAGCTATTAAGAGAAAGTTAGAATTTCGCATCCCCATATAGCAACGATTCCAAAATATATCACGGCACTCTTTTGTTCCGACTGACCAAACTTAAACCTGACCCGACCACTGAGCTTTCCCCTTTGCCTTGCCCACCTTAGGTCAACGATCAGATTATTGAGGTGGACGGCAAGTCTCTGGTGGGCGTCACCCAGGCTTACGCGGCCTCCGTGCTACGGAACGCGGCCGGACACGTCAAGTTCATGATCGGACGCGAGAAGGACCCGGAAAACAGCGAGGTGAGGGGTGGGAGGAGTTTGAGGCGTGAAGCGCTGGTTGACGTGTTAGTTCATAAGTTCCCATCGTGGTGTCAACTGTCAACTTCAGTTTATCTCAATACACTGTGTGTTTCTTTTTATGTGTGTGACTTTATTTCTAACCACCAAATACACGCGATGACATAACATTTCTGCATGTAAGAAGGAAGCACTCTTTTTTACCTCTGACCTGACTTCTGACCCCCGCCAGGTGGCCCAGTTGATCCGTCAGTCTCTGTGACCTCTGACCTGACCTCTGACCTGTGACCCCCGCCAGGTGGCCCAGCTGATCCGGTAGTCCCGCTTACCTGTCCTCTGACCTGACCTGACCTCTGACCTGACTTCTGACCCCCGCCAGGTGGCCCAGTTGATCTGCCAGTCCCTGTGATCTCTGACATGACCTCTGCTCTGACCTGTGACCTCCTTCAGGTGGCCCAGTTGATCCGTCAGTCCCTGTGACCTTTGACCTGACCTCTGACCTGACCTGTGACCCCCACCAGGTGGCCCAGTTGATCCGCCAGTCGCTCCGCGCTGACAAGGACCGGGAGGAGCGACACAAGGCTCTGCAGAGGGATTACGATCAGCAGCAGCGACTACTGGAGCAAATCACCCACGGGCACCCGCCGTCCTATCAGGTGATTAATATTTCCTCTGATTACACATGGGCACCCGCCGACCTATCAGGTAACGTTTGTGTTGTATTGCAATGTGTGAAAACCACTGCTAAGGTCCTTTACATAGTGTGAGCTTACCTCACCTTCCAGCCGAGCTGCGATTCATATAAGAGGCGGTTGTGTCTGTTTCTTTATCTTTTTCTGCTTGGTAAAGGCCTTATCGTGCAAACGTGGATAGAAGGGATGGTACTGTGAATCACAAGCTACCAGACAACATTTTATCTGACTTTGCCACGCTTGTGATTTTTGCTTTGTGTACAGTTCACACACATTGCGTACAATGAGCTCGTACAATTCTTCACCTGACCGAGCGTGTCTCGTTCGGGTAGGAGGCTACCAACCGTGACGGTTCTCTGGTGGCCGAGACGGAGGTCACTGAGGTCACCACAGAGGTCACAGAGGTCACGGAAGTGACCTCAGCGCCACAGTCCGCTCCGGTGGAGTCGGCCGAACCGAGTCCGACGGAGATCGAGCTCCAGGCCAAACTGCAACAGGTGGGCAGTGGGTGACCGAACTCCAGCTGTTAAACTCTAGCTGCCAGTGTAATCGAGGTGGAAAGATAATTATTGATGCTTGGGTGAAGCTGCAAGAAATTAAGCATGCTGCCACAAAGCAAATAACGGTTGCAGATCTTGCTCATGTTTGGGAAAGACGAAGTGATTTGCTAAATTTACACTAATTGCACATATTTATCGCTTGTGTTATGAGTTTGATACCGCTACAGGGCCCAATCTTATAAAATGCCGTACTATTCTATTCACGGCAATTGGTAACATTAACAGTGATACCAGTGCCGACAAACGGTTATCCAAGTCAACGAAATGATTATTTGGACGGTCAACATACGATGGACTGAAATGCGTGAAAACCATTTCGCATTTGATAGCCGTTTTCTGCAGCTGAACTTCAGCCAGTGCTGCCATATCCATTCCACGGCGTTTATACGATTGAGCCCTGGTGTGTTAAATGGCATCAGCTCCGTTTTTACTTGCGTGGTTTGTTTTCAGGCTCTGGAGAAGCAGCATTACTACGAAGGTGAAATCGCAAAGTTAAAAATGCGGGTGAGTTCGCGCCGATGTGTCTCGTGATGTCATGTGAGGATTACCATGTTCTGTTGTGCCCAGTGCCCGCCTTGTTGAAATTCCGATGGATGATGTAAAAGGGCTGTTGTCCGCGTGTTGACTTGACTTCTGGAAGATACCTACTATCGTTGTTTCATGGGAATGTTTACTTCCATGAGATTGGAATGAAAGATGCTACTGGCATCAATGACATCACCTTGTTTGTATTTTTCTAAGCATTTGAATGTCCTGTTCAAGTGACTTGCTAACCCACTAAAATACCTAATATTTCCTTCTGGCCGACACCTAGTTATGTCGCTCGGCTCTCTGACCTGGCCAAACCCCTCCGTTCAGATTGTGGAGCTGTAGTAGTCTCTCGCTCATTTAACTGACCTGACCGGACCCCTCCCCTAGATCGTGGAGCTGGAGTCGTCTCTGTCCAGCTCCCAGGAGGAGCGGCGACAGCTCAGTGAGGCGCTGGAACGTCTGGCTCCGTACGAGCAGGGCCTGGAGGCGGCTCGTCTGGAGGCCGCCAACCACCACAACTCGCTGCTGGCGCAGCGGCAGGCCACCGAGCAGCTGGAGCGCAAGTATCAGACGGCCAAGCGGCTGATAGGCGAGCTGCAGCGGAGAGAGCAGGGCCTACTGCAGCGGGAGGAGCGCCAGATGGGCAGAGAGAGGGAGTACGAGCAGGCGGTGCAGCAGCTGCACGACCGGCTGCAGCTGCTGGAGCGGCAGCTAGCCGACACGCAGCGGGACGCCGGGCTGCCGGTGCAGCTGCCGGCCGCGCCGCCCGGACGCTGGCCGCCGGCCGTGCGCCGTCCGTCGCCGCCCAGCGCCCCGCTGGAGCGGCTGGACACCTCTGAACTGTCTGACGGGGAGACGGGCCCGCCGCCGCCGGCCGGGCACAGACAGCGCCGCCCAGACACCAGGGTCAGTGCCAGGGGCGCTGCTGGAGGGTAGATAATGGGGCAGCCAGCAGTCTTTCAAGGGTTCCTTGATTGTTTGATTTGCTAAATTTTCAGACGTTGAAGGGATTTTTTAATCAATATTGCATCCTAAAACCTTGGGATCCATTGTTTAACTCGGAGCTAAACATTTACCGTTATCGCAGTGAAGCACTCACTTACGGCATCTACATCTATAGTATGATTTATACTATTTAATTACCATCAGCGACAAAATCCATGCACCGGTGCACCCATCGCCGGTCTGTATGCTGTGCTGACCACCCGTCACCTCCGTCACCTCCAGGAGGAGCTGGACCGGGCCGTGCCACCCCACGAGCTGCTGGACACCTCTGTCAGCCGGAGCAGAGCGCAGCTGGCCAGCAAGGGAGGCCTGTCGCAGCGACACCCGCCCAACCTGAAACGCAACACCAGCAACAGCAGCAGCGGCAGTATGGTCAGTGGGGACGGGATGACTGGCTGAGGCAGTGGTGAGAAACGCGAACGCTACATTGGGCGACGGAGGCGTCTATTTTGTCCTCATAGTACGATAAAGTTTGCAAATGATTGGTCCTATGCAGCATCAACCAGCAGACCCGTTCTGATCTGCTTTGGTAACCAAATCTTTGTGTGGGATGATATGGGAGGTAATGTCCTTTGTCAGCCTCCATTCCATCTGAATAGTTTCTCTCCCGTGTCCTCCAGGAGCAGAGTTTCAACGAGTCGGGCCAGGGTGTCGAGTACCCGGACATCCTGGTGAACGCCACGCCTCGCAGCTCGCTCCGTCACCAGCACCAGGGCCCGGTGCCGCAGCTGCCGCCGGCCGGCCGGCGCGACTCGGGCCTCCAGCCGCTCGGCATTCCCATCCCTCCCTCCGCCAGCCAGCAGTCGCCGCCGCGGCCGGCCGGCCGGGCGCCGATGCCAGCGCCGCCCCACGGCGGGCCGGCGCAGCTCGAGTCCCTGAGCCCGCCGCGCGGTGGCGGCCGGCCCGAGATTCCGTACCGGGAGCCTCCGGCGCCGCTGCCGAGTCCGCGGGCAGCCGGACCGCCCGTGCCGCCCGGCGGACTGAGGTGAGAGCGGGGCACTGTCGGGGGCAGGAGGGAAGGTTGGGATTGATTGACACTGTTTAAAGGGACCCTCCCACCTTAACATTAGTTTTGAGTTGAGATAGCCAAGTTTGCGGCCAGGCTCAGAAACCACCATTTATCCTGGTCGCAACCCCCGCAGCTTTATGGTGTTCAAGAAATTTCTTCCCTTTACTTGCAGGGTGGGACCAGCGTGGTCCCTATCTCTTAACCATTACGGGAATCTGATGACGTCATCAGGCTTTCGAACGTCCGTTAAATGTTTGACTAAAACGTTTTGTAGCACGTGGTGGTATATGCTGCGTTGCGCGCAACAAATGCCGCACTTTTAAATAAAGTCGCTAGGAACAGCGGAGATCCCAAAAAGTAAACAAAAGTAAAAGTCTAATATCTTGAAAACCGGTGAATATTTTTCGGTGAAATTTGGTAGATATTCGTTCTCGCTCTTTCTGAACCGAGCGACATCACTTTCATGCCAATTCATAAACTTTTTTAAGGTGGGAGGGTCCCTTTAAACGGCTCATTTTGAGCTAGAGTAGGCTCGAGGCAATCGTAGGGTTGTGAATTTTATAAGTGGTGTTTTGCACATACCGTCCTCAATCACTTTCACTGATGGCCGAGCCCAGACTGAAGGTGATTACAGTTCGGAGCCGGAAGCAATGACCATAAACAAAATAATAAACAAGGCTGATAAACAACCAAAAGCCAGTAAGGGCATCTCCAGGTCTCTTAATCGAACTGATTAAGATTACATCCCGGACGAGCCACCAGTGTGAATTTTATTGTTTTACTTTGCCAGCTTGGCTTCACGCGTGAAGTGTCTGCTGAGCAGGTCGTTTGTCTAGGAGTATGAAAGTTTATTTTTAGCACCACCTCTTCAAGCAATCGTCTCTTTCAGACATAAAAGTTACCAACTACAAAGAATTTGCTTTGCCTTGGAACAGGTACCTTTATTACATTACAGGCTATTATAGACATGATAAAATAGAATAGTTATATTAGATTCAAGTACAGCAAAAGCACAGTTACTAGGCAATAGGCAGACAGGCGCAATGTTACCCGCTACACGCGCAGTGACGAAAACACTTTCGCGTCACTCGGGCACAACAGGTCCTGACTGGACCGGTGTCCCACCGGTACTCACATCGCAGCGTGGCGAGGTCGAGCAAAAGCACTGTCCCGGCCGAGTCGAGTCGGGCGAGTGCCCGCGAGCGTGAGCAGGAGCGAGCCAGAGCCGAGAGCCCCGACCTACGCCACGCGCGCGTATTTGTACCGTCACACGCAGTGTGACGTCACGGCCCGCGCACTTTCACACTATCCGAAGGTCCGCGGTAAAACATATACAAATAATACGCCTGACCTGACCGAACAGATACAACTATGAACTATATGAGTGTGCGAAAGAATCCTTCCTTGCTCGCGAATCGAATCACATTCGAAACAATTGTGCTAACTCATGAAACCATAAAACGACAGCTTTACATACCTACAGAATACCAGATATGATATCAGGTCACACTTGGTCAAAATTTTGTTAACAGTTGCAATCATCACAATAAACAATGCGACCTGGTACCTCATCATTGTTTATTGTACCAGAAGGCCCGTATTGTTTATCGCAATGGTACATTGCCATTTTTGAAACGTACATAAAACAACCGACAAATAATACAACTTGCATTAGGTATGTTTTCTGTTTTAGGATAAGCCCGTGAAACCACGTAAGATACTGAACATTCCGTGACACACACCAGAGACCTAATGCATATCTCACCCTATATGTGACCATGTAGTCCATATTAAACATTGCTGCGACCCACACGAGGTTTGACCCTTGCATATTTAACTCTGAAGTACTGTACAACCTGCAGTCTGTACCTAGATGTCGGTCCTGCAATACGTCATTACGTACGTATCTATCGTTGAATACGTCGTAATCCATTAGACACGTACAATAAATAATACGATCCGTATTCCAGGTTTGCACTTATTTTCTATCTTAGCTATACAGCGCTATACCTACCAGAGAATAAGACTGTTCCAATCCAATGCATTGCTTACCGCATGAATAGTTATCAATAAACTACATATTCTAAACGAACGTCGAAGAAACGCACGCGTCACGCGGCAGAATCATACGTTATACAGTGTTACAATGAAGCAAACCTGTTCCGATCCAAGGCCGTGCAATTAATACAATTAAGTGCATAATGTTAATGTGGAAGAGAGCGCGCGCGCGCGCCGCGCGGCACAGCTGTAGGTGCGACGAGCTGTGTCGTCCCACGCTGACCCGGTTTCGCCACCGCTCTGTCCCGAGGGTCGGGCACTGGCTGTGCGTAGTAGATTGCCACACCATGCCACCTCGCCGCGCCGGTGCGTGCGGCTGGGGAGGTTTCATCACGGCGCCGGCCTCGGTCAAGGCCGGATAGCCTTGGTCCTCGCTGCCGCTGCGTGGTGTGACGAGCCTTGCGCCACCATGGCGGCGACACAGGCCGCGTTCAGCTCGATCGTGCACCTCGGCAGCGCGGGTCGCGCCTCACCGCGACCGTGATTTTCTCACAGGGTGCGTTTCGCTCTTCATACGGATTAAATCGTGCTATAGCAGCTTTTCTGACCTTCCTAACAGTTATTTGGTAACCATTTCAAATCACTGAGCCAACTCTGAGCTCGTCCATCTTGGCCTTTTTATTTCCTCTTCTTATCAATCTCCTTTCGCCCGTCCACCTATCTGACCGCCCCTCCCCTTCCCCTAGGGATGACCCGTCGGACCCCCAGGCGGGCAGTCCTTCAAGCGGTGACCAGAAGATGCCCCGAGGGCTGATGGATGAGCTGAGGAACGTGGTGCACGACTCCAGGACCTCGGGACAGTACTCACCCAGTAAACCAGGTGAGCAAACGAATCGAGTTGTATGATGAGCAGGATGGTATGGGGAGAGGGAAGGGGAGGTAGGCCGTCTGGAACTGAAAGCCCTTTTAGGTCTGAATTGTAGGTTTGCGCTCATCCGCCTCATGTGGCAATAAGTGCATGCTGGGTGTTCAAAGCGAAATGCCATTCCGTGTTTTCAGGGTGTGGCCCTCTGCTTATCTGTCTGTTTCTAGCTCATCTCTACCTCGTATGTTTCTGTTCCTTCCGTTGCTCTTAATGTGTCTCTTTATTGCCTCCAATCCCCCCTGTGATCGTCAGTCGTCACATCACTCTAACACTACCACCCCACACCCACAGGCGCGTCTTCGGTGTGGCAGGGTCAGCAGTACCCTCCCGGAGAGCTGCCGCCGTCCCGGCCGGCCGCCAGGGACGCCGGATCTCGAAAACAGCCCGACGCCGGCGGCGTGGTCCTGCTCAGCAAGAGGCCGCTCGACACCAACCTGCCGCCCAACGATAACAGAGGTGAGGGACGGGTGTGGTGAGGGGACTTGGGCCTTGTTCACGGCACGCCGCTACCAGACATTAGCGTGTGTTGCCATGGAAACAGAGCGCCAATGCCTGGTAGCGGTGTGCCTTAACCCGCGCCCTGCTGGGGGGTGTTTGAACACCCCCTTGTGGTTTTTCGCGAATATCTCAAAAACGGCGGCGCGTTTTTGGTACACCTTATCATACATCAATTCTACACATGTTGTGAAAATTTAAGACCAAGGTCATTCAAGGTCAGGTCACCAGGTCACTTGAAGTGACCTCACCTCATAAAAAGTTTCAATGTCTGTCATAGCTACACCGAGTGACCGATCGCTTTGAAACTTTCAGCGATTGCTAAGAGCAATAGCATGTACAAAATTTATATCTCAGAATTTTGATATCGATGACCTAAGGTCAGGTCAATTTTGCGACCTCCCCATTATAAGTCAATGGGAGAAAATTGAAATGCGCCTCTTTTGGACGAAAGACATTATAAACACTCCTTAACACTGAATTACAAGTGGTTTAGACACACTGAACATGGAAATGGTGTCCATGACCCCTGTTTATGCCCTGAGGTCATCTTAGGTCACGAATGGTATTTAACAGTTTTTCGCAAATAACTTTTGATAGAGGCATGCTAGAGCGATGAAAACGCCTTAGATGTGTTCAGCTCGATGATACGGATCGACTGATATGCAACATGACCCTTTCCGGTCAGGTCATGACCTTGACCTGAGGTCAAATTTTCAAGTTGACCTTTCAAGGTCAAGTTATAGTTCATTCGATGCGTCCTGACGAGAGGAACACGATGCCGGTAAAAGTAAGCTCGTACAAGGCTTGGGTCAAAAGTTATTGCAGAAAAACTTTTTTCCGAAAAAAATCGGCTATTTTTGCAGTTTTTGCCCCCTGCAGGCAAAACCGTTGACGTTAGGTCAAATCTGAGAAAATTACTCAGAAAGGGCGTTAATAGGGCTATCGAATGCGCTTTTCCGCGGCGCTATAGCTCTATTGGTTCCCGAGTTATGCGTTGGCTTCTTGGAAATTGTTGACATTCGACCTGGAAATCGGCGAAATTTTGCCTTCAATGACCTCTGGTGACCTGACCTTTGACCTGACCAAAAAATTGACTGAAGTGATTTCCTCATTATTTTTGACGCTCTTTCGAACGCCGCCTTCCGCGTATCGCTACGTGGCCCAGGAGCCGAGTTAGAAGGGGGGGGGGTGTTCAAACACCCCCCCCCCCCAGCAGGGCGTGGAAATCCAGGACCCCCAGCCGGGCGCGGGTACAGGGCCCGGAAGAATGCTTAGCATACAACTGTTGGTAAACATAGGCTAGGGTAAGTCTGTTGTGCGCCGGTGTTTCAGCCGATGTTCGAACGCGGTCGCATGCACTGCCGTTTATATACATACTGACGTTTTTATTTGCTGCTCTGTATCTGTAACCGTGATTGACTCACTCTAACCCTCCCCCTGTCCCCTGCAGAGGAGGCGTCACCGCCGCGGCCGTCCTCGTCCCACCTGCACGCGGCGGCGTTCTCCCCGTCTGCCGGCGTCTCGGCGGCCGCCGCGCCGTCCGGTCTTACTGCTGAGAAGCGCAGCGGATCACATATCTGGCAGGGAGGGCCCGTGCACGACTGGACCAAAGAGCAGGTGGGTGATCCAATCGTGGAAGGAGGGAGGTGGAATACCTCACTCTTGGTAGTTATTTCCTTGGTTGATAAATGTAGTGACCTGGACGAGAAGCTACTTTTATGTGATGGCTTGTGCCTTTAATCCTATTGTTATCGTCTCATTTTTGGTCTTGTCCTTTATTCAACCCAGGCGCTTTTGAGGAGTTCTTGTTCAAACGGGATCCGAGCTCAGGCTTTTTGTAGCGTTTCAAGCGGTATCCTCATAAGAAATTGCACTTGATGTGACACCCTCTCTATGCCCTCCCCATGAGTTTGGGCCGTAGCTTGGGATCCCAACAAAGCTGTCCGCCTCAGAATGGACCGTTTACCAATAGTGTGGTGCTATTCATAGTCTATCCACTCAGCAGTGTCTCTCCCCGGACACTCCGATTTACCCAGGCACGCCTGAAACGGATGCAGTCACCGAGTTAATAGTTTGAGACCCATCCACCTTACTCTGACACTACTCGACAGCCGTCTGAGGCTAGACCGACTCTGATATTTTCTGGTGTCGATGTCCGGACAATAGCGGACGTTCGTGTTTGGAATAATTGGACAGCGGCGTTGCGTGCTCTGGAATAATTGCAGAGCAGATGAGATACGGTAAGCCAGCGGCAGACAATCCATGGACTGACGTTCAGAGAATCGGCTGCCATTGCTGCATTTATTTTGTGGCGTGTCCTCGGGTAAGCTAGGAGGTGCAGCGTATCAGATGCGCTCAGGTGCTCGGTTTGACTCCAATGTGCTCTGTCTGACCACCCTTCTAAGCCGCCTGACCTCAACTACCTAAGTGTTATCCCTGCATTGATTTAGCACAATCCATTTGTTGCCAGTCTATGCTCGCCTCTAAGCTAAACCCGTCCAGGGGTGGATAATTGTGCCGAGTTGGGGTAGCACGAGCTTTCCCAATTCCACGCCGGCTTGGCTTTAGAGCCGCAACAGACGGCGGAGGTCAAGGTCACCGCTAGGGCGGCGGCGGCTTTGCTGCGCCCGTGCTACCCCAACTCAGCACATTTGTCCACCCCTGACCCCGTCTGACCTGTGGCCTTAATATGAACCCTTCCTCTGCCACTTGTAGCCCCGTTCTGACCTCTCTGCTCTCTTCGTCTGACCTCTCTGACTTCTGACCTCTTCATTCTGCCCATCCAGGTGGGCCAGTGGCTGCTGGCGCTCGGTCTGGAGCAGCACATCACCACATTCATGGAACAAAACATCACCGGCGCCCACCTGCTCACCCTCGACTCCAAACAGTTCAAACAGCTCGGCCTCGAAGGCGACGACAAGGTCAAGGTGGGTCAAGGTCACCAAATAGGTCATGTGGTTTATACAGGAATGCTGCTGTTGGTGATCGGTCGAAATGCCTCGTATGTTTCCTTGTAGCATGGACGGTATGGTCTCTAGAGATGCTCGCTTTATTGGGTCCTTTTGTAAGGAATGATAGTGAACTTTGACCGTTTTATGTTCTTGGAACGTTTGTGCTATGTCTTGGTTTATTGCCTGGTATAATGGATGACAGTTACATGACCATTGTACCCGTTACGACTATTGCCTGGGCTTGTGATAAATGGAATGGACTGGTCGTTCGGGCTCTGATGGTGGATTTCTGGCGCAGGTTAAGAGGAAACTGAAGGAGCTGAAATCGCAGATCGCGCGAGACAAGAAACAAGCCGAGAAGGAGAAGAAGGAGAAGGATAAGCTACAAAAGAAGGCGGAGAAGCTGGTAGAGAAGGCGGTTAAGAAGAAGTGATCGTATTGTTAAGCTAAATGTGTCGATGCGCAAGCAACAAAGCTGTATTTGTAGTGATCGAAGTGTGCGTTTGGTTCACAGTAGGTGACCGACTTCAAACATTCCGTTAACGGTAGCTGAGTGATTACGACTGTCCAAATGTGTGGCGCAGCGTTCTCTGATGTGATATGGACCCGTGCGCCGGCCGTGAGCGTAATTTATACTCTGTGCCGTCCTTTCCGTCCTCGTGGGATCAACTTTCGAATCACATTCCCCTTCCTCGAGTGTTCGTGTGTGCTCCGAAGTGCTGTGTGATATGGAGCGACGTCTTCATTCTTGTGAGTGAAAGGCGGCGGAGGGCAGGACGTGACTGCCCACCGCCGCCCCCCCCCCCCCTGACAGTCGGCTGGCCCGGTCTAGTCTTCGCGCTAGCCGGTATAACATGCTGGACTCAGTCTGGGCTCGTTTTCTGTGCGGGTGTGGTGCGATGCTGCGGAAGCCGGGCTTTGGACGGCCCCGGTCGCGCGAGATGTTTGAGTTGTGCCCGTCCGCGCCGCAACTGGCGATTTGACGAACCTGCAGAGATGAAGCGACGCCCTGGATCGGCTTTGATGAATCAGTGGTGCCTTATATTTTCACATGTGCCAATTTTATGTAGCTCTTGCTGCTTTGTTACATTTGTTAAGTGTGCTGAGAGCGTAGTTTGCTTGTGTGAAGTTTTATGTCTGCCGGGCTGCCGTGCCCTCGGCGGAGGTAACTCAGTGTTTGGTGTTTTAAGGAAAGAAATAAACAGCTCTCTTTTACTTAAGTATTTATATCTTCGACCAAATATGGTTGCACTTAACCGATGGCTCTGCTCTGCTGGTCGTTATCTTTACGCATTAAAATGAAGATCTCCAGTGGAGTTGAACTCATGAAACTGAAGTTGTACTTCTGTCGTTGTGAACATACAACGGCCCTTGCCACTAGCCCACCACACCAAGCGCCCGCCTGAAACGCCCTCATTCCGATATCAATGATGGTTTATTGTTTAGCATCATCAGCACTACACGATACAATAAATAACTTAGGTTATATAAAGCTCCTCGGGAACATTCCTGTACAGACACCAACCGTCCCAACGTCGCACCCACGCACATAAACGGGGGGGGGGGGCGGCGGGGAGACACATTCGGACCAGATCTTCATCCCGACAGTAGGAGCTGGGCTGGTTTGACACTGGAAACGGTTTCACGGAGGAAAACCCGCTTTGATACGGACCCACCCTCGCTCCAATCCATTTTCATTTTCTTACCATGGCGGGTACAATACATTCCCATCTCTCCCAATGGATCAGCATCTCAGCATCAGCAGTCATCAGCACTCAGCAGGCCCCGCTGACGGCAATCAGCGCTGTCCAGCGACTGACAACGCGCGACCACAGGGTTTGTTCGATTGGCTCACCGTTGCGGCCCTATAGAGGTCGGCAGTACACACATCGCACCCTCCCAGCCGTTCAGATAGCTCTAATACATGACCTGACTAGCTCTCACTTGCATCTCGTCGCATACATTTCGTGGAACACGTGACCCCTTTATGGCAGGTGTATGTCGCCTATGCCAACAGACTCATCACTTACTCGCTGAAATAAGACAATAAAACCAAGTCACACACTCCGTAAAACGCACGACGCCGTAGATATGGAAACGACATTGAGATTTAAAGGTTCGGAGCAGTAACTTTGGCATGCCGCGACGGCAGCAGCGGTCGACGACGCGGACTGAATTGTATATCAAGTAGGTACACTTGTACCCACTGCTACAAACCGTACCGTTGGCGACACCACATGGGCAAAATCTGCATCGAGGGGTTGGGGACATCGAGGACATTGGTCGGTAAAACTCGGCCAATATGGCCATTTCGCCCAGCTAGCTGCTCGTTGAGGGCACAATGACTTCATCGAAGACGCATGGCATTATGTACGCCGTTTGGAAGCATGGACTACCGCCCTGAAATCCAGCACGTCATCCGTTTCCGTTCTTGGAGACATGCGATTTCGCCAGCCTTTCCGTCCTCTCCAAAAGGTCACCAACGTGACATGCATTCAAAGTTCAACTGTTACCAACAATCCCAGGAGTTTCGAACCCGCAGTCACCCACAGAAAGACTCTTCTGTCTGTCGCTCCTTTCCTTCATTGCATCCGAGATTTCAGCCACCCCACCGACCTAATCAGTCTCCCCTACCCGTCCCTCAGCAGCCTCCAGCCTCCCCGGCGTCCGACTCTCGCCGTCAGGGTCGCTCAGATCTCTCACTTGTGTCCTCTGACGATACAAGCGCCGACCTCGAGCCCTTCCTGCCCAGTTTCAGACTCGAGCGGCGCTTCTCCTTGCCCTTCTCCCTGCGTAGAGAATCCGAACCGCCGCGCGCAGCCAGCAGCAGATTCTCCACGGATTTGGGTTTACTGAACGCCCGCCGGGCCGGGTCGCCGGGGAAGGTGCGCAGACAGTCACAGCTGAAGCAGCTCGTGTCAAACTCTGATCCCGGCGCCAGCAGACTCTCTGCCGATTTAGCCGCCTTGGCCCGCGCTCGGTGCAGCGCCGGGAAGCCGCCATCGAGCAGGAACTGACGGTCGTCGGGTCGCCAGCGGCGCTCGCAGCCGCCGCCGGCGCCGCTACCACCGCGTCCGGGCGACGCCTCGGCGGCCAGGTTGTCCCAGGATTTGCCGCGGCCGCGCCACTGCTCGTAGTGGTGTCGCAGCTCGGGCCGGCGCGGGTCGGTCCAGCGCAGCTCGGCCGGCCGGCCCGGCGCCGCGCGGTGGTAGCACAGGTAGCGAGGCTGGGGCTGTGGACGCCGTCCGATCGCCTCGGCGTAGCTGGGGGCGGGCCGTGCGGGGGCTGCGGCAAAGGGTGGCGGCCGCTGTACCCTGCCTGGGCAGGGTAGAACGCCGGGATCCGCCGGCCCTGCGAGCGCAGATCTGCGGGGGAGGAGGGAGGATAATATAGTCAGAGGTGGTCGGTGGGGCAGGGTTGGCAATTGTGAGGACAGATCATTCTGAAGTTCAGTGACATGTGAGATGCACACGAGAAAAAAAATGTGACTTTTCAGTCGACTCAATCCTTTATTTCTAATTTCCTCAATCAGTATGACACACTATTCCAAAGCACGACGGCCGTATCTGTAACAAAAAAAAATAATAATAATAATACAGAGATTGTGCACTAAAGGCCGAACGATTTGCATCATAAGCCAGCCACGATTATCCGGTACACCAGTGACTGCGCCGTCGCGTCGACCACTCACTGGCTATGAAGTGTTTCTCCTGCTCGCAGAGCTGCTCCAGGGCGTACATCCGATCGGTGAGCTGTCGCTGCAGCTGGATGTACCGCATGTGCAGGCTGACCTGAGGTCAGAGGGGTTAAAGTGGTCAGCTCGGGGTGCTTCAGAGCTCAGCATAGGTCAACTCAGGACACACCTGAGGTCACGGAGTAACCAAAGTCGCCTCGCAGTGCGTTTGGTCAGAGGCAGTAGGACAAGAATCGAACATGAAGTTCTCATGGGAACAGGAGGTTGACATTTTTGTTCCAAATGCAAAGCGGTATTGTATTTTCGCAGAATACCAAAAATAGGAAACAACAATGCATCACCACAAATAGGTCACGGATGCGGAAAATACCTTTCCTCGTTTACCGTTACCAATTCTTCTACGTCCGTAAATCAAAGACCCTGTGCACTGCAGACCTGCACTGAATCCCGACAAAAATCACGATTCCCAGCTGCGCTCCGGCCGCCGTCCCCACCTTTCTGACGCAGTCCTCGAACAGCACCACCATTCGGAGCCGGTCGGGACACTGTTTGATGAACGCTACCAGCTCCTGGTGGTCGTACTGCTCCATGTCCTGGCCGTTTATCGACAGAATCACGTCGCCTGAAAACAAATAAATGGTTAGGGATGACTGACCTGCGCTCAGTTAAGAATGTAAGCCAAATAGGTCGAGAAGAGTGATATATATATATATATATATATATATATATATATATATATATATATATATATATATATATATATATATATATTGCTGAAGCTACTCCACAGACATAGTTGGACAGGGAGCCTTCAGAATGATGTTGCGAAATCTGTTATTTTTTCGATCCTATTGTGAGTCGAGAGATTGAATGCTGAATGAGCTCATGCTGAAAGTTTAGTCAGTTCAGCTTTTTAAAAGCGGGCCAGAACGACTCATAAGAACGGCAGCCATTGTGTATCGCCCATTCAGTTTCGAGCAGATCTGTCATTCACCGGAGGCCGGCCGGGCGCCGATCAGCCGTGAAATAATCCACCCATCGGTCGGTGATTATCGATCACGCCATTAGATCCTTCACGGAACCAAGGCAGACCGTTTTTCTCCCGGCCGCAATCGGAAATGCCTTAGAATGAAACCTGTCTGGCTGGCGATGATAAAAACCCGACACTGAATCGGTAAAATATCTGACGCGTATAGCCGCCTATGAGGATAAAGTGCAGATAAATAGCGACATAGGTGTGTCATGCACCTGGCTGCAGTCTTATCATTCAGCTCGTCGACATGAGGTCATTCTGTGCCGCCCCGCCCACTGGCTGGGGTATCTGTCAGCTGCAGGGGCTCACCTTCCCTCATTCCGGCCTTGGCCGCCGGACCGGTGGCCTCCACATGGTCGATGTACGTGATGATTTCTACCTCCGAATCGCGCCGGTACTGGATTCCGTAGCTCTGTGAACACACAGGCAGACTCAGTCAGTTGAAGAATTGATACGGTTCCCGCGGAGTGAATAGTACAACTATCTATTAGAGGTAGACTATTATTGTACTCGTATTAGAGACCAACGATCAGGTGATTTCAAAAAGTTACCGCGAATCCGATTCACCCATTGTTCCATGAGGAAGGTCGTTGTTTCTCGCTTCAGCTTTGGATAAGTTTTCGAGCCGCCTTCTTTGGATGTTGCTGTCCGAACTCGATCATTCGCTTATACAGCAGGCCGGGTATGCCAATGATTAGGAACAGTCACGTCTAGTAAAAACGGAATAAAAAAAAATGTGCAGGAAAGCGCTAGGGGAAAATTATAACCGGTACATATGATATGCCACGATATTACATTAAAGCGCAACAATTAAAGGTAGGCGAGCCTTCCAGTAAACGATACCTACAAAAGGTTGTGAATGAGCAACAATTATTGGATACGCATTACACTTTCGCCACAATGATCCAGCTAATAAACCGGTTGAAACAATTAGTGGGTTTTATGCTTCTAAAATTGTTCAGCATAGAAGGAAAAGCCGACATGACCTTCAACGGCAAGCAGGACAGGAGGTAGTCGGGCGCTGATTTGTATTGTTACCAATGTTGTACATTTGTGCAATGGATAAAATTAAAAAATACACAACAACATGGGTGAAATGCATCCGCATTTACTACATTTTACGATCAATCCCAAATAATATCAGGTGAGTCTATTCAGCATTCATTGTTCAATGCTCGGCGTCCGTAACACCGTCGGAAGCAAATGCTTCAGTTCACTAGGTTGCAAGGTAGCTCGTCCCAGCCAACTGACGGCAGTCGGTGACACTCCGGGGATGGGGAGTTCGCGATCCCCCCCCCCCAAACGCCACCCCACTTGGCCCGCCGCCCGAGAGGCTGCATTCCAGTCACAGCGACCGCCCTGTGACCCCCAACAGGGTCCTCGGTGCTAGGCTAGGGACATTTCGCTGGGGGAGAACTCGCTGTAGAAAGACGGGCAAAGAATCCGTCCGTGTGCTCGGAAAACGGAAGCCATATGTGTTAAGACATGTCAAATGTCAATACCCGGGACAGATACGGATTACTGTACAATGTATGTACATAACCAATAAGCATGACACTCGATATGACACAAACAGGATCAGAATCAGGCAACAGAGGAAAGATGGTGATCGGGTGCCATCTCGACGAGTCAGCAGTTTTTCTATGCACGGTTATGCTGTCTCCAAGGGTTACGCTTACCCTCGTCACAACACTTCAGCGAACTAGCCTCACGTCAAATTCATGACGTCACTCCCGTCACATCCCGTCACACTTATCACGTCCATCTGATGACGTCACATCCGTCCCGAACCACAGGGGCACGGGTTCAGGGTTGGATCACGGCCAGCGCTCACGAAAACCGCCGTGAGATCATAACCACGGCGGAAATGTTAACCGCTCGTGCGAAACACACGACACAGCCTCATTTCTAAACTTTTGGGAACTTGGTAAAACGCGCCGACGGGCTTACCGGCGACTATTGTTGTGATAACGTCACCTTACGGACAGCGTTAGGTTGACTATAATAGCAATAACACCCAGCTGGCACAGTTGACCAGTGTGATGATAGGGTGAGTTTCTCGATGCCCGCTCACCAATCTCACCTGTATTGTAAAGCCGAACGAGCCGTGCGCCTTCTCGATGAGAATAGTGCGTCGGCGCCGGTCCTCCTCGGGTCGGGTCAGGGTCACCTTGTCGGGCCGCACCCGCTCCAGTAGGGACGCCTGTCACAGAGAGGAGGAGGGGGGGGGGGGTATTACGGTGGAGCTGAGGGCTCGGGGTAACGATTGTCCGGCCGCACCCGCTCCAATAGGGACGCCTGTCACAGAGAGGAGGAGGAGGGGGGGGGGGGGTCATGGCGGGGGCGGTGACTGAGGGGTGACGCTTGGCGGTCATGGGACTCATGCAATAAAATATATTTTATACGGTAAACTCATAAAAGCATGCGTGCAGTTTCGATAGCCGTCATAGATTATCTAGAAAAACAAAATTGAAGAAGGTATGCGAAATATAAAATGTTGAACTGTCAAGTGGCTGTAACAAACTCGGCACTTGGCATCTGAATAAGTGTCAGCCGGCCGTGTCCCCCTCGTTCATAGCCTGTCAACGCCATCGGCGCGGCGCTCACCGGCCGGTAATCTAGCAGCCCTGACCTCCGATCACCTTCGCTCCATATCTCCCCCATTCAGGGCCCATCGGCCGACCCGGACTCGGGAAAATGACCGAGAAATAACCATGGAAATAAACACGAAATGGCTGCGAAACGAATGGAAAACAATGAACTAAAAATGTATGAAAGGCGCGAAAGACGATCACGAAACCAATCACTCAAAACAATCATCAAAGAACATTCACGAAGCGTGGAAAGTGATGAATTCGCTTCTCTTCGTATCCGTTAAATGGCGCAATAATGGGCATCAGCAGACAGCAGCGTCTACAGATTCCTTCTGCGCTGTGTCCGCTAAATTTAGCTCGTTTTTTCGTCACTGCGCGGAGGGGTAATTCTGCCGGAAGGCAGCTCCAAGGCCGTATGCCGAGGTGTGAGAATGACACATTCCCGAGCAGAGAAAAGTCGATAAGAAGGAGCGACAGGTATCCAATAGCTGGCAGTGGTAGCATGTGCTATGTCAGACTCGTCTATATAATTGAGAGCGGATAGGTAAGTCAATAATGTGGGAGGCGAAAATGCGTTCAATAAGGTATGTGAAAAAAATGAAGCCTTCTCACATCCCAATGCTATTATGTTCACTTATATAAACTAATATTCTTGGAAGCATGCGACAATGCGACATCTTACGCTCGCAAAACATTAAACGTCATGACGATCGATTCAGATCACTTGCATCGATCGGATTGAGTCGCTCACAGTCGAAACGAATCATCATCACTTCTAAGCGCTCACCCGTCCATGGAACACGACAAATGCAACCGATGTTGGCGAGCTACACAATCCGACGTGGTGTTCCAGTCTTGCCAAAGCCGACATCCGGGAACATGTCTCGCCTCCTGATCAGGGGTTTCGCATCTGCCCAGCTCCTCAAACAACCGCCAGTGGGCAGTGGGCAAACCAAACGGTGTTGGGTCGGCCCCAACAGTCATATCTGTTGATGATACAGCCAGTAACCCAGTCCCAACCACAAGTGTGACCTCAGTCCAGCGGTTTGCCAACACTCAACTAACCCTAGTAATACTAGTAACACTCACTCAATGTACCCTGAGTAACACCTATTACCTTCGGCGGCTGCTGACCGGACAGAAAGGGGGTTGGAAAGGTTATAGAGGTTACCAAATGTCACTGCTGCCATAACCGGCCGTTTCAGCGGCTGTACCAACGCCCCCCCCCCCCCCCTCCCCCTCCGGTCGGTCGTGACAGGGGTGCAGGCGGGCTGCAGTGCCAAGTCAAAGTGTGGGGAGGGGAGGGGACGCTGAGGGTCACGGTGAAAGGCCGGACCGGGTATCGGCGTAAATGTCAAACTCGGGTCGGTGTTGCACAATGGACGATCTGCAGCCTGCAGGTTCAAATGTAAATGTTGGGCGCGTCTCATAAGCAGGTAAGATGTGGCAATGTAATGTATGAAGATGCAATAGATCACACTCACGCATTGTGTTCTTAAGAATGTCAGACATTGTGAAAAATGGCGCTGGCAATGCCAGTAATTCACTTGTATTGTTGAGCCAAACTGTGAAAGCATTCATTTTCAATTCAGACCATAGGTAGGTATAGGTATTCGCAGGGAAGACATAGCGCGTCTTGCGTAATTCGTTATGCCAACTCATCATGACTTCACATGCATTTAGCACCCAGCTGAGCTAACGCATTCGTTTGAATACTCTCTCATCGTCACTTCCCCTCTCTGTAAGCTTCCCAATTATCACACCTAACTCTGCCCCTATCACTCAAAGAACACCCTAATGGCCGACGAGCCGCCAACAGAGCGGTTCGGGTAGCGATCACCTGGCCGGCGGCAGCGCCGTTCAGACTGAGAGCAGGTGTACACGGCGCTAACGCAAACAGGCGACGTGCCAAGATCACCAGAGCGGGGCGCTACCCGCCGGCCGGCTACAGCGGAGGGTTCTCCTGTCCTCTGTAGGGAGAGGGGCGCAGCGGGGAACCCGGAAATACCCGACTGGGGTGCCTAATGTGCAGGCATGCCGGTAAATAGCGAGCATTAGTGAAACGGGTAATGGGGCAGAACTTATTCCCGACGGATATAGAAAATGAATCTGATGTTGGTAAGAAATACTAGTTATCATGCGAATCTGACCTTTGAACAACTGAGGAATAATTAAACGGCTTAGGCCTGCCCGATAGCTTACAGCGCAAACTTTACCTACATCTCAAAATATATTTGAATTGAACAACACCACTACGAAGGCATTGGAGAAAACTTTATGGCAGAACCATATTTTGATAACGCCGAGGTGTTCGGCATTTATCTGTGATTGATGTGAGACCCTCCTAAAGCATGCGTGTCTAATCTATTCTGAATGGCACTGCTTCCCACTACTCGGAGACATTAATGACAAATTGCGATTAGACTACCATGCAAGCATGATTAAGTGCCTCATAGTGACCTAACAAGACAAGGAGAGCGAAATTGTTTACGTTCGAATATGTCGAGCGTCCAACTTAAACTTGTAGTTTCATGATCTCTATCATCAGGTGGAAACATTCAATTCGTAATAAAGAGCTAGGGGAAGCCGTCGAGTGTCATTTCAATGGAAAAAAGTGCATCTGCCAACAGCGACATGCCATATGTAGCAAATGAGCGAGTCACCAGGCAGAACATGAGGCTGTCATATGTTATGGCCTTGATATGGACGGCGAAAGTTATAACGCGCTATATTTTCGACACTTAGCACGTGCGATGAAAATGTATTGCATTTAAAAACAGGTAATGCGACTTGTCTGTTTTCTTCTAATCAATTTTTATTTAGTTCCTCGTTATAGGCGTAAGAAGTGTAAGTCTGAATGGGGGGGGGGCATACTTGTACTGAATGCCCCTCAGGCTCCTGTCCGGGGGGCATATGCCCCTAACCTATTAATTTGAGGACTCGTTTGTTTTAGGGCCTTGGGCGGGCGGGCGGGCGGATGGGGTCTGGGGAGACAGATAGACGGACGGACGAACATACGGAGAGACGGATGGACGGACGGACGGAGAATGGAGAAACGGACGGATGGATGGACGGACTGAGAGACGGAAGGGCGGACGGACGAACGGAGAGACGGACAAAGAGATGGACAGACGGACGGGTAGAGAGAGAGAGAGAGAGAGAGAGAGAGAGAGAGAGAGAGAGAGAGAGAGAGAGAGAGAGAGAGAGAGGAGAGAGAGAGAGAGAGAGACTGAGAGAGAGAGAGACTGAGAGAGAGAGAGAGACTGAGAGAGAGAGACTGAGAGAGAAAAAGAGACTGAGAGAGAAAAAGAGACTGAGAGAGAAAAGAGACTGAGAGAGAAAAGAGACTGAGAGAGAAAAAGAGACTGAGAGAGAAAAAGAGACTGAGAGAGAAAAAGAGACTGAGAGAGAAAAAGAAAAAGAGACTGAGAGAGAAAAAGAGACTGAGAGAGAAAAAGAGACTGAGAGAGAAAAGAGACTGAGAGAGAGAGAGAGAGAGAGAGAGAGAGAGAGAGAGAGAGAGAGAGAGAGAGAGAGAGGGTGGTGAGAGAAAGGAGGATAAGTATGAAGGAAAAGACTAACAGAGACTTCAGGGAGGACGGCAAGGAGACTGATACCTACAGAGAGGAACAGTAGCGGCGGAACACCTTCAATTAAGGGGGGGGGGGGCACTGCCAACTTTTGGTCCCATTCTTTCCATGCAACGCCCATAGGGCTAATGTTAAAATGCCAAATCAAAGGGGGGGACGGTGCCCCGGTGCCCTCCCCGTTCCGCCGCCTATGGAGAGGAAAGATGAGTGAGCAAGGGATTTGAGAGATAGGTAAAGAGTAGTGATGTCAATTACAGAAAATCGGAATACCGATACCAAACCAAATACCAACCAAAACCGTGAGGAAATACCGAAACCGAACCAACCTAGGAACATGAGGCAAATACCAAATTTATACCAATTTATCAGCCTCTTATATATTAGTGAGGGTTCATAATACCAACAAAATACCAAATATAGGAGGATTGAAATACCAAATACCAAGTTGGTATTGGTTTGGTATCGGTATACCAAAATGTTGGTATCCGATTGACATCTCTAGTAAAGAGACAGGGGAGAAATGAGATTTTATTGCTCCGCTCCTAATAACACTTCCTAAAATAAAATATAATTGGCCGTAATTATCGAATAAGAATCGGAAATTGTCAATTGAACGTCTGATTCGCTTACATCAATCGACAATCCGCCCTATACCATGTTTGACATGTTTGCAGTTTGCACCAAAGCCAGCTTGCAGACTATAGCCTATACATCGAGGCAGTGGTATATACTATACATCCCGGTGAATTCCTGCATATAGCCGAGACCTGCGGCGGTATTTTCCCACGATCAGCCGGATTTCAAAGTCGTGTATTTTTCGTCCATGGCAGGCGGCCGGCGCAATCTCGGGGAAAGAGGCGCTCCAGTAACAAAAGCACGAGCAGATCGCCCAAATGCCGGTGGCCGCGATAAGTTCTCTAGTTTCTGAAGAATTTTCGGGACCCATGCTCTTTTCATACTGGATCGCGTGTGCCTTACAGAAACTGAAAAGTTCTTCCTATATCAAAATATAGAAAATA